AATACTTTGTCATGTGTTGTGGGTCACTATGGGATTTTGATGTCTATCTTACTCCTGTTACTTCTCTTGATGCTGATTGATGGATGATGCTGGTGTGACACTTGCCTCCTAAATGCAGAAAGCTGCTGGGAACCAACAAGACTGGGACACACCCATCTTCTAGCCACTACAACTCATCTTTTACTTTAAATTTCCCTATTTACTTTAATAAACTTGTTTCCTGATTGTTTTTTTCTTTTATGATCAGCACTTTACTGAACATTCAATCATTCAATATAGACCGCACAGACAATGATTATGTTAGGTTTGTTATAACAAGCAAAGTAATAATAGTAATAATTATGCTTACAATAGCCTGGTATGAGGGGAAAAAAAACAAACAAATAAACAAATAAAATGCTACCACGTTACAGAGAGCGTGAGAGAGAGAGAGAGAGAGAGGACCACCTGATTTAGTGTAAGGTTCAATGTGTATTTTCAGCTGAAAATAAACAGGGAATTCATAGTTAAAACATTAATTAAACAGGAAAACCAGAATCAGTTTATGGAGCAGTAATAGCAGCTCATGAAAGAATGGAGGGATGGGAAAGGAACAAGTAACAAAAAAAGTGCATTAAAAAATAACTGAAAGAGAAACTGACAGTTGGTGTAACAATCATATTTGGCAGTTAGCTTCACTATGAGATGTAGCGCACTATTCTGCTTTTCTTGCTATCCTGCACTGTAAATCTCCAAAAAAGGCTGGCTCATCCTGGTTAGGCCCATATACATTAGCAAGCATTAAAGGTGCAGTAAGTGAGTTTAATCCTATTTTATCTCCTTACAGTCTGCTAGCTGTCTGTTCTGTGTGCGCGATTGTAAAAGCGCAGTGTTCGTACACAGCCCTGGCTCGGTAAAAGGGAAACAAGCAAAGTGGTTTGGATGGAACCACACAACATCATTCCAGCCAATCAGCAACAGGGGGCTTTCGTTCTCACAGGACAGGGGAAGGGGAGGGGCAGGGGAAACTGTATATCTGGTGCATACTCCGCATCGTCAAGACAGGAAGATGGCAGAGAAACAGCCAAAGAGGAGAAAATCTGAAGAACCAAGATTGAGAAAGAAGTTCTAACGGCCTGATCTTCAGGGAACATATTAAAACATATCCATTGACATATCAGTTTCAAAGGCACAGTAACAAAAACAGCCTATTTGATTCTAAGGGATAAAGAGGGGTTGAAAAATGGTCATGTAATGATGAATTATGACTGTTTTTTGGTACATAAAACCACATAAACATAATAAAAGGGCTTCAAGAGAAAAAAATACAAGAAAAAAAGTCAATAAGATAATGCAGGCCTCAATAAGCCCACTAACACATTTATGTGTTATTTGTCAGTAGATTTTGAATGGAAGCCTGATATCTGAAGTTAACAACTTCCATAGAATCATCTTTACAAATTTTAAAGTGCACCAGCGTGAAATATTTTTTGCATCTGCTTTGTTATTGACTACTCAGTACTCACAAAAAAATGACTAAATTACAAAAAAGAAATTTTGCTAGTGACCGTTCCACACTTATTTTGCTAGTAACAAGTTATAAGATAAGAAGATAAGAAAAACTTTATTGTCCATTAAATTTACATGAAATGGAAATTTGTCTTTGGCAATCTGGCACATAAATACATAGACAGTGCACATGAACTATGTAGCAGTGGGCACAAATGATTTTTTTGTACCCATTCTTTCTAGCTAGTGGGACCTTAAGTCTCCTGCCTGATGGCAGCAACCGGAATGATGAATGAAGAGGGTGGGTAGGGTCCTTGTAGACCTTGCCTTGTTGCCTTGTTGGTTATGGATCGGATGCATAAGTTCTGGAGTGACAGTTGTTTATCTCCAATAATCTTACTGGCCTGGTTGACCACCTGGGCCAGTTTATTTCTTTGCTTAATTGAGAGGTTCCCATACCAGGACACAATATTGAAACGGAGAACACTCTCTATAAGTGACCTGTAGACCATGATCAGAGTATGTTTGCTGGTGTTAAAACCCCTCAGCCTCCTGGGGCGAGAGAGTCTCTGCCGTGCTTTTTTATAAACATAATCTACATTGTTCTGAAAAGTGAGTCTGTTGTCAATAATTGTTCCCAGGTATTTAAAGTGATCGACTTGTTCCACTTCCTGCCCTTTCATGGTGATTGGTTTGAAGACAGATCCTACGCTGCCTGCACCCACCCTCCCTCCGAAACATAGCTCCTTGGTCTTACTGACATTAAGATCAAGAAAGCTACCATCAATCCAAGTGGCTAGATGGTTGATGCACTGAGAGTGGGAGGGGCTGGTAACATCTTGCAAGCAGGCAACAAGGGCCATATCATCAGCATATTTTACAAGAGAGATGTTCGCTGTTATATTTGACCTCATTTATGTACATGGAGAATAAAATGGGAGATAAAACACACCCCCGTGGAACACTACTGTTCAAGACAAAGGCAGTTGGAAAAAGTGTTGTTGATACAGACGCGTTGGGGCCTTTCTCTCAGAAACTCCCTGATCCACAAGACAAGGCTACTACTGACATTCAGGTCACACAAACGTTGCAGAAGGAGATGGTGTTGAACTGTATTAAAAGCAGAGGAAAAATCCATAAAAAGTACCCAGACATATTTATTGGCCTTGTCCAAGTGACCAAATACTTTATCCAGAAGAATCAGTGTGGCATCTTCTACTCCTCGACCAGCTCGATAGGCAAACTGCATGGGGTCCATGAGCTTAACAGTTTGTGATATAAGCTCCCTGCTCACTAGGCGCTCCATGCATTTGACTAATAATGATGTAAGAGCAATAGGTCTGAAATCATTCAACGATTTTATGTGAGCTGTTTTTGGCACTGGGATGATTGTTGCCATTTTCCAGGCTTGGGGGACAAAACTAGTATTAAGAAACATCTGGAATAGCTGGGACAAGTCCCAGTTGGATGGCACATTCCTTTAAGACCCTTCCCTTAAGCCCATCTGGCTCATTAGCTTTATGGGGGTTGACTCGTTGTAGGATTGAAATAACTTCTTCTACTTTAAGTGTCATGGAAGCAGGTGTCATTCCTGCATAGACAGAATCACAATAATCACTAAAATCATGTCTATCAAATCTAGAATAAAACATATTCAAGTTGTTTGAGAGGTGAATAGGATCCTCACACTAAGGGGCTACACTGTGTTTCCTTCCCATCATTGTATTTAATCCTTTCCAAGCATCTTTTGCATTTCCATTCCTCAGTTTATGCTCAACCCTAAAAAACGCTATTTTCTTCTGATTTAAATGATATTTTAGTCCTTTGTTGATCCATGGCTTATTATTTGAGTAGATTCTGACATTTTATGTTTTACTAATAGAATCAACACAGAAGTTTACATAACGGGTAAGAGTGTAATTTATCAACTCTGGGTCATTACAGGAGAACTGGTCATTGAAGAATAAGTCCCACTGATCTACATACATACATACATTATCTAAATCGCTTATCCTTCGGGGTCACATGGGGTGCTGGAGCCTATCCCAGCTGTCATTGGGTGGAAGGCAGGATACACCCTGGACAGGTCGCCAGTCATACACAATCACTCACACCTAGGGGCAATTTAGCTTAACTGCATGTTTTTGGACTGTGAGAGGAAACCGGAGTACCCCCACGCCGACAACATGCAAACTCCACACAGAAATGACCCCGGTCGCCCAGCCGGGAATCAAACCCAGGCCATTCTCGCTGTGAAGCAACAGCGCTACCCACTGCGCCACCGCGCTGCCCTACAGCACTGATCTAGAGTTTTATTAATTCTTGTTGGACAAAATACATATTGCTCCAAGTTTGGCAGGTGGGTGGAGAAAATACATCTGTTAAAATCACCCAATAAGAAGACTGGAGCAGAATGACATTGCGCTTTATTATAGCTGTCAGCTATGCGCTCAGCTGCTTGTGCATAATCTGGGCCAGGCACGTATAGCAGAATGATTGTAATTTGCCTAAATTCGTGAGGGAGATAATGTGGTCGAAAAGAAACAGTCATGATCTCATAGTGGGTAGAACAGTCAGTTGCCCAGCTAGTATTGATGAACATGCATAATCCACCTCCAATACTTTTTGCTGTTCGTCTGGGATCTCTGTCATATTGGATAAGTGAGTATCCCTCCAATTCGATGTTGGTTATGTTTTCTGACAGCCAGGTCTCCGTAAAACAGATCAAACTGGCTTTGCTAAAATCCCTGTCATATTTCAAAAGAGTAGCATGTTCGGTCATTTTATTTTGTATTGAACACACATTGGGTAAAGTGATTGTTATACACTGATTTTGAGACTTTGGGACACATGTACATCAAAACAATATGATCTAACTGCTCAACATGTGGCAACAAGTGACAGGGATGCAGCCTCACTTCCTGTTCTAAAATGCAGGAGTGTCGTTAAAATAATTCTCCGTATATGGACATAGTGGAAATTCAGTGGTCAGGGTTTAGGACAGAAATCTCCCAATGCCCTATAAATGACAATTTTGTGTATATTAAGCTTATTTCTATCACAATTAATGTCTTAGGTATAAATAGATCATAACCTGTTTACGAATGTCTGAATGAATTTTTCATTGTTATTTATTTATTTATTTATTTATTTATTTTACTGTGGGACCATAGTTTGAACTAATTCGGCAGAATAGACCATTTTGTGCAACTTTTCAAAACTGCAGTTTACCAAAAAAAAAAGGTGGGTACATTCATATAGTATACTGTAGTAAATAACAGTGTAACTGTGCAGTGCACTTCATTCTGACAGTGTGGGATAAAGCTATAATCTATTCAGTAAACTACTGATATATTGTACCTATACTATAAAATACCTGTACCTGTACTATAAAATAAGGTTAAGTAGTGATGAAGCGGACACTGCTGCTGAAGGAGGTCATTTGAAAACCACAGTCCATCTCTGTTTTACATCCTGTTTTTCGAGGACTGCATGCACAAGCACACCAGCACACAAGACACAGTCACGCAATGAGGATCCTGTACCTGGTGGTTCTCTGTCATGGTAAGTGTCTTTTATGAATTAATATTACAAACATCCTTATATTCTTGTATTTCATGTTTGCTGGCCATTCAGGGCTGTACTTTTAGCATTCAGTGTTGGCATCAGAGGTGGGTACAGTAGCCTTAACTAGGTTTAAGTGCTTACTTTACTGTATTATTGATTCAAGCAGAAGTAAAAGTAGCTATGAAAAACCAACTGGAGTAGGAGTAAAAATATCAGCTCCAAAAACTCACTGGGTAACATGTAGAACTGCAATGGAACTTCAAAATACCTCTAGCATATATTAACCTGTAACTGTTAAAGGTTCTGTGAAGGTATGTTTTTTGTTCATCAAGGTACAAACAACGTAAATGTACCCTCAAAGGTACAACAGTGGTTTTAAGGTCCATTTGTGAACCTTATATAAGTTTTTCCAGGTGAAAAGTACATATTTGTACCTTTCCATAACCTAATGATTTAAAACAGAACAATAAAATAAAAAGCCTGGAGACGAGACGGGTGTGTGGAGTCAATACAACTTATCATTTAAGTGGATTATGGTACAATTATGTTCCCTGACTAAAGATACTGAGATATACCATTGAAGGTACCACCCTAGTGACAGTTTCATACCTCAATTTCTGAGAGTGTAGGAACTAAAACTTGTTAGAGGCAAATCCTCTCATTTTGGGATATATATAGTTGAAAAACTGGTAAATGCTGAAAATGAGAGTTGTGATTAAGAGCTAATCAGTCAAGGTGCTGAACCAAAGAGAACGAAGCGAATAAAATTAAACCCAGAAAAGAAATGAAAATATAAATGTCAGTGACTGAAAATAAACTGAATATATATTCTGTTACTCTTAGTGTTATTTGGAAATACAGTACAAATACAGTAGAAATCCATCAAACAGTACTAAATTCCTGTGGTTAGCAATGCTACATTATGATATAATGTGGTGCACAGGAAATACAAGCTAGATACAGTTCAGTTCATTTTAGGTCCAAACAGCCCCTTTTTTCTACACAATTTTTTTTTTTAATTATTTGTTTCCACTTGCTGGATGTCCATGAACATCCATCAGTTACATGAAGACAAGTTATTGTATTTGCTCATCCTTACTCTACAAAATAGCTGTGGAATTGGGGCCACTTTCGAGTAACATACAATAGGGATGTTAATGATTATCCAAGCACCCAGTAGCTGACAAAATGCTCGACCGATGCGTTTGTCTTTTTAATTAACTTGAAGAGCATTTTGGAACTGTATGCATGAGCGCACAAGAGCACAGCATGTTCCAGCTTTGCATCTGATTCGTTTCTCCCTCAAATTCACTTTCCATTCATGAAGCAAGTCCTCAGGTACGTGCCTTCACTGAACAGAAAGTGGAAATGTTCAAAAAAGGTTGTCAGTCAGTTTGCATGCAAATCCCTATAGTTACTGAACTTTAAGCCTTAACATGTAATAAGCCTGGGATTTTAAACTTATCAAACAATACAAAAATAATTTTCGGCATAATCATTTACTGTTTATTCTGATTAAAAATAACTGCATGCAACATGCAAACAAGAATTATTGCTTTCTAATATCTGTTATTCATAATGGCTGTTTTAATATTGCCTTGTTAATCAACAAAAAACTTTTTTATTAATGGATCAGTTGTTGTTAACGTGATACAATCAGGAGGATGGCCAAATTTTTGCATTAGGTTAACCCCTTACATGGCCAGGGTGCACTAGCAGGCCCAAAGTTTATTACACCCTGTAGTTACTGAATAATAAGCCTGGGATTTTAAGGGGTTTATTATCCAGAAGCACAGACAGCTTTTAGGGGAGACACTTTCTTTCACTTTCCTTAGTTCCAGCATTGCTTGGCGTTGATTTCTGTTCAGTGAATGTACCACCCAAGGACTTGATTTGTGAAAGGGACTGTGAATTTCAGGGGAAACTGAATCAACACCTGTAGTCCTACTTATAAGTAGTACTGATGCAGAACTCCTGGTTTTCTGGAGTCGACTCAGACTCTTGCTGCTGGATTCAATAGGGTTAATTCCTCAATTCCACTAAATAAACAATAGAGCCAGAGCCACTGATAATGGGATGCAGAAGAGATTAAACCTTCCCATATGTAGTTTGCAGTACTACCCTTCTTAATGTCATGTTTCTTCTGTTAAGTGTAGCCTTATGCAAATCTGGTTTTAGCTAATAGTTAGTCTATGTAGTTAGTCCCATCTGTTACTGTCTTGTCATCTCAATTTAATTTTAAATTTAAATCACTTAATTTTACTTTTACAAAATTTTACTTGAAAATTAGCTTTTTTTTCTTGTTGTTTTCTACCAGTCAGTGCGCAGCTTCAGTGTGACAAATCCATTGTCCGTGCCACAGTCGGAGGAAGGTTTAATGTCGCCTGCACATACAACACAAACCAGTTCCGCTTCAGTAAGAAGTACTGGTGTTTGGGGGAGTCCAAAAGCTCTTGTAAGATTTTGATGGATACTGACGGCTTCACCAAAGCTGAGCTCAAGAGTCGTGTTCAGATCACTGAGACCTACAGAACCTTTCACATTCTAATGACCGGACTGCAGGTGGGAGACAGTGGAGTCTACTGGGCTGCAATTGACAAGATGTATGCTGATATCATGTTTAAGATCCAGGTTGAAGTAAAAGAGGGTAAGAATTAGTCTGTATACTGTCTAGTAAATATTCTAGAACGCTGTATATCTATACTTTTTCTTCAAGAGCAGAGCTAAATGAAGTGCTGTTTCTGTAACGCACGAGTGTTATGCAAATGACAGTGGTAGGAATGAGTGTAGGTGGTCAACTACAGCACTGTGCAAAAGTCAGAGACAGCGTTTTGTATATATATTATATATATATATATATATATTATATGTATATATATATATATATATATATATATATATATGTATTACAAAATATTTTTAAAATTACACAAAAGCCTCAAGTCATCAAGTATAATATCAAATCTATCAGTACTTAATTTTTCCCCTTTTTTACTTTCATGCATCGTACTGCCACTTTAACATCCATTTCATCCTCCCAGTCTTAAAAACAAAGAGTTACAGCTGTGTCCTCCCAAACAACAGACAAAATTGTTCCCAAAGGTGTCAGTGACATTGTGTTTAATTCTTTTTCTTAACACATCTTTTTATCACTTTCTTTTAGTTATATGTTCAAAGCACTATTTAAAATGCCATAATAATCTCAAAGATTTTGTACATTGTACTAATAATTAAACCATTTGCATGGTTTAAATATCAATTTATATTGGTAAGCTATGATGTAAACCAGTAATTAATGGTTCGAATTTCAGAAGCTGTAAGCAGACCGAAAGTGTGGCCAGTGGGCTCCCTTCTGCTGACGTGTGGGGGTCAGCCGCTGACACTGCTCTGTAGGAGTGAGAGAGGCACTAATGTGCAGTACAGCTGGTACAGAAAGGCCCATCCTGAAGCTGTGCTCTTAAAGAGCGCCCCCTCCACTCACTGACCAGTGTGGTAGAAACACCTACCTTTTACTTTCACTGTATACAGTAAAATAAAAAGAGTATGGCCACCTCTGAGCAAATTATATTGATTTGATCATGTTGATTTTTAAACTGAAAAGACATAAATATGTCCTCTGCAGCAAACTATTTTTTCAAAATAACATTTTTCTGCAAATGTTAATCCACGGTTACTTTATCTTTGATTCATTTGAAAATAATAAAAACTTAAATGGCAATTGTGGCATTGTCACCACTGTACTAAGTCAGTACTTATTAACACCCTCTTTGGCAGATGTCACAGCTTGCAGCCAGCTAGGAGTCTTTCTGTTCCTGTTTTAGGAATTTTATGCTACTCCTCCTATAAAATGCTTCTATTTTTGCAATAAGCTTGAGCTGTCTTGCTTGCGCTGTGTGTTTAAAATATACCCACAGGTCTTCAATGATATTTGGTTCAGAGCTCTGTGAGGGCCTTTCCAAAAGCCTCAACTTGTATTCTATGAAGTAGTTCATGGTGGATTTTGAGGTACACTTAGATCCTGTTGTAGAAGCCTCTTTCTGCTTCAGTTGTTTCAGTTTCTGCTAAGATGAGCCCATGGTTTTTGAGTCTTAGCGCAGTTTGAAGAGTCAGAGAATTTATTACATTCTGGAATTATCATCAGCTATCAATTCCTAATGACTACTTGCCTAACTAGTCTTAAAGAGTCAATTAGGGGCAAACTAATTATTTATTTTGAGACTTTACAACTACAGTGGTGTCCAAACTTATAATAATTGTGGCATATGCTGTTATATTTTTGGCCTAATATTAAAAGTAACCATGTGTTAGCATTTGCATAAAACAAACCACGTCTGACCACTTGCAAATATGCTGATCCAGCAAGTCATGTCAAATCTTGTTCTGACTTAGACCATTTCATTTTGATTTTAGAATACTACCAGATCATTTTTATGCAGTACTATTTTGAAAATGTGCTTTAGTGTTGCTGGTCTCCTTTCAGATTTTAATAGCTATGACTGTAGGACAACTACACCACCCATCACAACCACCATGACCGCAGTGGAAGTTTTCAGCTTAACGCTTGTCACTCAAACCAGTGGATATAAAAAACATTCACGACATGTCAATCAAACACGGTTGGAAAACTTCCTTCTCAGGTATGAACAAGATTGTTTATTTTAATTTTTCTGTCTGAATAGCATACAAGTTTAAACTAACATCTGTTGCAGAAAGAATGTTCTTAAACATTGTCGCTGTCATATCTAAACCACCATTTGAAAACAGCTTTACATTTCATAAACATTTCATGATGAATGCTGGAAAAATTGGAACAAAGTCTATGTTCACATTAGCAGGCTAAAGTTGCACAAATCTGATTTTTTTGCATTTATGTGACAAAGATCTGATGTTCTCAGAGCTGTGTGAACACACAAATCTGGTCTTTTCAAATTAGATCTGAGCCACTGTCATATGTGGTCCTACTAGCTTACCATCTGATATATACAGCCTTCAGTTGAGCACCCAAATGCAGCATTAGTGCCAGGAAACTTTGCAAAAGTAGTACATCTGGCTCTTTCTCGCCTTCGTCTTTCCCTAATAATGAATAGCTGAGAGGTGGTCACAGCTAATTATCTTTGGGACAAAGACTTGTTCTGATGGTTAGAGAGGTCCAGCCCTAAATTGTGTCCTAAAAGGCAAGAGACTCTGAGGTGCATTTAGGACAGACTCGTGCGATATGCAGGCTCCGCTTGTGCCACATGCACCATATAGGTTGTACTCTTTTGTAAAATAAACTAATTTGTTTGTCTACAGTATCTGAATTCAAAGTACAAGCATAAGACAGCTCATAGACAAGTGAAATTTATAAACAAATGCATTTTTATGTTGGTCATGTTGGCCAGACCGTATCTATGGCTCAGATAAATAAAATGATTGGTCCTCACCTGTTTCTCAAAGGATTCTGTGTAAATACACCACTCCTGAGTCTGCATTGTTGCAGCCCTCACCAAAGGCCACAGTAAGGGGTCATAGAGGGTGTTAATTACCACCCCTTTGAGTGGCAAAATAAGAACTGGGACACCCTGGAGCCTCACTGTCCTCATGTGCACGTGCAATTGTGAACTGCAGGACGATTTGTTGTTCATTATGTCCATGGTTCATTCACATGACGTTACTGATTAGGATGTGTGCATGCGGGTCGCTTCAGGACAGAGTCGTCCCACTTACACAAATGTGAACCATGAAGTTAGAATGATGGGATCTGAGCAAGAAATTGGAATTCAGCAATGAGACTTACAATAATTACAGTAATGTGAACATAGCAATTTTTTACACTAAGGTGCTTTAAACTTAAAAGCGTTTAACTTTTATCCTCTTTTCAAGTAAATAGCTTTGAGACAGCTATGATATTGTAGCATGGAGGGTGCACAGAAGAAGCTTGGACAACTCTAAGATTGTGTCTATGACAAAGCTTTATTTAGAATTGACACAACAGCCGGAGGTACAGCTGTAACCTGCTACAGAATTCCACTGGAGGTTATGTTAATGTTTAGAGTTCACATAAACTCTAAAAAACATCACATACTTGAAAAAGCAATTAAAAGCCTTTACTTACCCACTTTAAAAACTAAATACAGCCTAGTTAAGCATGAGCAAAGCATCATGGGAGCCAAAAGCCCCCCCCCCCTTGTCCAAGAGAAGCAACTGCTTACCAGTTCCACCATACAAACTCTTTGAAATGTCTAGAAGCCTGTTGTCCCCCTTTGAGGGCTCCAGACCTGAGGGGGTGCCTGGCATCCTCACAGGTGCTGCCGACAGTGTCAGGCTGTTGTGGTCCTCCCGGATCTCTGGCCGGCATTGAGGAGACTCCAAAGCTGCTGGAGTGTATCGGCAGCATTTTGGCAAAGCCTGGAGGGGTTCTCTGTGTGACAAGGGAGCGTTGGTTGGGTCCTGAGGGGCATCGTTCTGGAGGGCCATGAGAACTAGGGTCCCAGGTAGCTGATCATATTGGGCCATGAGAGCAGCTGAAGTGCATACAATGCATTCCCAATGTAATGTTCAGGTCTGCATCTGGTGATGAAATAAGTTCAATACCTAACTGCCTTATTGGCCCCTGTAGATTGGCTATTTCTTTGGGATGCTATACCCCTTTACCCAGCACACTGTAAGTCTTCAAGAGAGCACACACTTCCCCAGGACTTGGGGGGTGGGCCATCCCCCAGTCACCTATGCTACATGTTGACTTTCTGCTTTCTTTCATCATCATACTTGGCATGAATTCCTCTGCAAACTATTCAGTAGTTTGTTAAAGATCCTACGATGAAGTCGATGAAGTGTGGAACAATACATTTTAGGAAACTGTAAAAACTCCTTCCAATGTCTGTATTTCTCAGGTCATGGTCAGGAGTGCCGCTGTGGTATGACATCGTTCGCTGGATTCTCTTCACTCTTATGATGGTCACCACTGGTCTAGTGCACATGCGCACACAGGCCATACCCAGTGGACACAGACTTACTCACAAACACATCTGACTGTGGGAAAATCTTTGCTTTAGTTTGCCAGTTTATGCACCTGTCCATCTAAATAGCTGCCTGTCCCTTATAGAGCCAATAGTCATTGGCTTCGTTATGGGATGTATTTTGATTTCTGTGCTTTAATTTCATTGTGTCTCTTCGATCTGCAGCCAAGTGTGCTATACTAGAGCCAATAGGTCTTATTTTATAGTTAATAAAGACATACATTTAGCCTTTAGGGTATAATTAAGCTGTATTTACGCTTTATCTTATTTGTGTACAGTTGTATGTAAAACAACCTTTTACACAGTCATATGGATAGTTGGAGTTCTGTTGCTTGTCCTGTAGATGGAAGCATTTTCAAACTGATTTACACAGACATGCCATTACACAGACACAGAACAATAAAAAGGACAAGAGTTTCCAAAACTGTTCAAAAGAGTTCAGTGTGACTCATAACGACCAAGAAAGATGTGGTACAGCACCAAAACTGTCACCATCAGATAAATAGTGCTTTCATCTTTGGAAGATAGCAGAAAATCAAACTCTACTCTAGCTTTAGATCTGAGAAATCCACAAGAGTTTCTATTCAGCCTTCCACTGTGGGAAGAAAACTCAGTGCTATGGGTCTAAAAGCAAGTACAGCTGTCAAACAGTTGTTACTGAGAAAATCACTTTTGCAAATCATACAAAGAAGCTGATGGTGTTCTCAGAACAATGGACTGGCCTCCCCAGAGTCCAGACCTCACACCACTAAATGTGATTGGGACTTGTGAGAAGAAGCAAATGCACCCAAATAGTACCTGCTCTGTGAGGGTCCATGGGGGTCCTGACCACTGAAGAACAGGGTAAAAGGGGGCTAACAAAGTATGCAGAGAAACAGATGGACTACAGTCTGTAATTGTAGAACTACAAAGTGCACCTATATAGTAAGTGGAGCTGATAAAATGGACAATGAGCATAGAAACAAGGGGGTGGTCATAATGTTATGCCTGATCGGTGTAGTTGTGGACAAATGAAAGGCCAAATATGCACAGAATGATTATGACAGAGGATCAAAAAAACTAAAGGAGCTAAAACCAAATGACAGACTAATGTTGTATGATAGAAACTCATGTACCACAGAATGTTCTACGTGGTTCAAGCTCAAGAGGGAGTGACTTACAGGAGAAATCGTAGATACTTGCTGGAAGTACCTGAAAGGAAACTGAATAGAGCAGAGGTAGCAAACCCAGGTGCAAACACGAGACGCCTATAACTGAAAGTAAAGGCATTTAGAGATATAAGGAAAGTCAGGAAGTCTAGTAGAACCATTAAAGCACCTCAAAGGCTAATTGAGCAAATATAAATGGTAAGAATTAAGAATTAAGAGTAACAATCGAAGGAGGTAAAGTTGAAAACTCTGTACAGAAGGTTAAAGAGTTCACGGATTGTTAGTTGCTTGTGAGGTTGGAATTACACATGTATGTCGTAACAGCGGTCAAAGGAAGATTCAGCTGAAGCCATGATTCTGCTATGAGAACAGCCCTTTTATTAAACAAAGCAAGCACAAACGCACATAACATACAGCCAACCTGTGGGGGAGGTCACCAACCACACACTTCATGCAACCAGTGACACCCCCGCCCATACACAAACACCCACACCCCTGCCACAGAATAACACATATAACACATCACACACCTTTTAAATGCTTTAATATCATACCAAACAATAAACAGTACCCTTTTTAACAAGGGCGAACACCTCCCATGAGCCTCTTCGTGCATCTCTCTGCAATGCCATCTCCTGGTTGGCAGCGTGCCATGTCAGTACAGGTGAGTCTCAAGTGGACTCCGAAGTCCTAATCTTTGAATCCCAAACAAGTGAGTTTGCTTTCGTTAGCTATATTAAGGCCATTTCAACACTAAACACCAAAAATGATGGTAACAGTAATAGCACCTTTTAATGACAGCATGTTAATAGTGTGTGGCTGTATAGTAATTAAATTAAGCCACGTCACATGACTCGAGTCCACACCTCTGATTTATTGTATGTAGGTATGCACCTATGCATGCATGCAACAGCAAATAAATAGAAGTTGAGCAGAAGCATATTTACGTGTGTTCCCTGTAGGGGATGCTTGAACTTATTTTCACTTAGAAAATTAACAAAACATGTAATTTGACTGGTGTTTGAACTTTTGCATACGACTGTAACTAATAGTATCTCTATCTTTCAACATGAAATGTGCTTGTTTTTTATGTTTGGGCACTGACACAAGCAAACAAACACACATCACGGCAAAAATGCTTGGTCCATACACTTAACATCTAAACTTTTCTGATATAATGGCAATGTGTTTGAGACAATAATAGGGCTGACTATGCAAATCAGGAAATTTTCACTTCCTCAAAAGGATACCGCAATGCAAGTGTGAGATGCCGCACCCATAATTTGAGAAGTGCTCCTTTTTGGTGCAATGTTGGGCATTTTCTTTGCTTTTTTTAGTATTTTTCTTTCATTTTCAAACCGTGCATATGCATTTTTTTATTTCATGTTCAGAATCTGCAGTAGCTGTTCAGTGTAAAAGTTGCTGGTGCCTTTTAGAGTACAGTGAATTACTTCGCTGGCCAACTGTTGGCCGCTTTGGGGCCGTGTTGCTACAACACGAGAGTTGTAGGCAGGGGTTTGGCATCAAATTCTAGGCCCCAGGCCCCTCCCCCGCTCCAAAGAAAATGAAGAAAAGGAAAAATATTGTGTATTTATTATGTTGTATGACTTTATGAGGTTGGCTGGTATACATTTAGGGGTTGAACAGCTGACAATAAGGAAAATGTGCTCTAAGTCATCAGTCTTGCTGTACCTCAATAAAGACCAAGTTTAGTGGTCTCTAAAAATTAGACTGGACCTCTACACTTGGTCCATGCTCAAAACAATCAATTTATTTAGAGGAAAATTCAAAAGAGGAAACCTAAAAAAAATTGAAATTGAAATATAATTACTATGTTTTTCACTGAAACTGCTTAACAGGTGCTTTATTGGTTAGAACACTCTTCAGCTGCATCAGAAAAGGAAGAAGTGTTGCTCTCTTTTTCTCACTGACTGTGTCTAAAACTAAAAGTGTGCGTTTTGCAGGTTAGCTGCTGGGCTGAGGCTAATTTTGTTTAGCTATGATTTCACTGCCTGTTAAAAAAAAAGCTTACTTGCTGCATTAAGTTAAATCCTGTGCTTATCAGCTTGTGCTTGTCACAAATGACTGCAAATGTAGCTAATTCCCATAGATATGAATAATCGCTAGTTAGCTAGCTAGCTAGCTTATGTTACTACAACATGTGTACCGTTTGGTACTTTAGGCTCACCCGTTTTCTGAAAGAAACAGGTCAGAATTTGCTTGCCCATTTATTGTTTTCTCGCTCTTTGCGCCTGTCGTTTCTGAGTTTGATTTCATTTTAATCAGGTCAGAATTGGAGGACAGCCACTAATGACAGGATCAAACCCATTTTGCTTTTGGCGAGGGGGTGGGTCAAGGAAACAACAGTAGAGAGCATAACTATTGTTTATTACTATAATAACAGACAATATCAAAATTAGAAACCAAAATCAATTTATTTCCGAGGCTTTTGCAGAACGCCTCCCCATTGTAGGCAGTCATTAGTCAGGTCCATAAGTCCATCATCACCTGCAGGCCGATGCCCCTGGTTATAGGCTAGTTCTGTGCCCTAAAATGGCCTAACATAGTTTTAACAACTACTACAACTTGTTTTCCAAAACCAACATAATAATCTCCTTCTCTCATCTATTTTTATCAGCTATTATAATAATCTCCTGCAAGATGTGTGCATGCATCTTCACAAGCAACAGTCTGATTGGCCAACGCTCAGTTCCTTTGTATAAAGTTTGTCCAGTAAGAGCAGCAGGGTTGTGCTTTAGCTGTGAGAGCTTTAGTAGTGTCGATTGTTAAATTAAGGTGGAAAAAGGCAGGAGGACGTTCTGTTCTCTTAATGTTTTGCAGTGTAATACTGGGTGCACCAGGATGTCAACAGTGAGACGTTTGGCATCCATAGCTATGAAAAAAATCAACATCATTAAACATCCACAGCTGACAGCAAATGTTGGGAAAATTCAACTCTTGACAAAAGTGCCTTTGGTACACTGCCACTGGTGGTGTCGCTGTTCCATTAAAAACAATGGAATATTCATCGACATGCCATCGACAGTCCAACACCGCAATGTTAATGCAGCACTAAACAGGCTGGTTTTGTTACTGTGTCTTTATAACTGATATATAGGATTGACTCTGTTCTGATGGGCTGCCTTGTATTGTGCTTTATTCTAAAAGCAGTCTGTCTGACAAAATGAAAAATGGGACACCTTCATCTTTGTGGTCCTCACATGCATGCACATTTGGCCCTCACCTCTGGAACCTGAGGGCAGGGCGGTCTAGGGACATTTTTAAACATAATCTTAAGACTTACTTTTTCCACAGTGCTTTTAATTTGTAATTCTCTCATGATTATTTTATTGTTTAGTATTATTTCATTTTATTTTTATCATTAATTATATAAAATTTACTTTTTTTTTTACTTTTTTATTTTTATTTTTGACTGTATGTTTAACCTTTACCAGTTATACATTTGTTTTATGTAATTATGTTGGTTTTTATGACATCATAAAAACAAGGACTTTAATATGGGCTGTTTTTGCAGCATTGTTTTCATACATGAACATTTTGGATTGGAGAGTGAACGGTACATTTTGAAATTTTTAGAGTGTTTTTAAATTACATCAAACTCATTTTTTTTAAACAAGCGAGGAGTAGCTTTCCATGAAATAAAAATCTATTTAAAAATCATATTTCAATGCACATTTGAAAAAAAACAAAGGTCATAACATCGCTAACTTCGGCTCATTTTGAGCTGCAACGCTCCAGTGAACAAAGACTCGTTAGAGAATCGAAAGAGTCGGTTCTTATTGGTGAGCTCAGCCAGCCGAGAATCTGACTCACTGATCCGGAGCTCAGTCTGGCACTGATTCAGTGATTCAGTGCGGAGTTCTGAAGTTCAGTTTCGGTTTCATCATCAAAAGGGGCGGGGCCATGAAGCTCCAGGCTTCCGTTTGTTTTTCCTGTCAGAGATACCGAAACAAAGCGGAAAACGGTGTAAAATAATTGTGTGTGTTGTGGCTTTAATGCAGCCAACGGATATTACAGCGTTTGAGTTTTGTAGTAATTCGTTAGAAGGACGCCCCGTTATGCTTTTATGAGTTTATTATCGAAGCCTTTCTTTCTCTTACAAGGCTGAAATGTCGTGCACTGACAGTGACAGTAACTGCTGCGCCATTGACAAAATTCAAACAAGAAGCTGGAGAACAGGAAGCTGAATTCAGCCTCGTCTTTCAGTTTGAGTCAGTTTAATCAGATTGGTCTTAGCCTAACGGTGTACGAGCACGTTACTGAACAGAGGACACATTCAGCTCCATTCACTTTTAGAAAGATTTAGATATCTGAAAACGACAGACCTGCAAGTATTACTGCTCCTACTGTTACTACTACAACTACTACTAATGTGTTAAGAATGATTATTAATAGGAATAATTAATACTGTATTTTTTTTCTTTTTATTTATAATATTCATACTTTGTCGTATATCTAATATTAAAATGATACATTATTAATTATTTAAAAATGATAAAATAAAATGATATATTATTAATAATAAAAACTATTAACATTCATATTAAGGATAATTAACGGCAGCTGCACCGAATATGTGGTTTTACTGGTCTTCGTTTTCTCTTCATGTGGTTTAACCTAAACCTAGTTATGAACGTGTGCGGATCCAGAAGGTCAGAAGGTCACCGATGTTGACTAACGTTTACGGTTAAAACTAGAGATGGAGACGCTGCGCTACAATGTCGTCCTTTTCCCATTTCTCCTGTTTGTCCTGAAGGTTGTCAACATCACAGGTAAGATCTGTTTTAGGTGTCCTCTATTTTCAGGAAGCGCTCAAGCTGGTAGTGCTGTAATTTGCTATGAGATGATCAAAACAACAATTCAATGCTGGGAGGGGTGCAAACCAGAAAATCCATCTGCCACCACAAGGCATGTGCAAAATAGATCTCAGAGCAAAGAGATTCCCAGGCACACCGTCTTAAGAGAAGTATAAGCATCCTTTATTGAAACCTGGCAGTATGTATAAAAATGTGCCAACGTGTTGCGGCCTTCTCGGGCCATCAGCAGGACACAAAAAATGGCAAAATGATTTGCACGTGTTTTGTTGATGCGAATGGATTTTCGTTGGTTTTTCCACTCTCAGCATGGAATAATTACTCTGAATACAATCCACTTTAAAATGTATTGAAAGCACGGCTACATTACTTTCCACCATGCAGTACTAAACAGATTTTCCTCATTGAATTGCAGTCATAACAGTGAATACTGTTATACTGTTACTGAATACTACAGTGCACACATGATATTATATTTCCATGCGTGACTTGCAGAATCTGTGCCAAAATGAAAAGTAAGACACTGATTTATCATTCCTTTAAGTACTGCACAGTGGAAAGCAATGTAGTCTTGCCTTTATTACATTCTAAGATAGTTTGTATTTAATTCTTAAATCCAGCATTTCATTTTTTAAAATCCAAATCCTCATGCGTTGTTTTCCAGTAAAGAGGTGAAGTGATGTGAAAACAATGTAATACAGGTTTTGTTTTTCATTTTGGCACATATTCTGCATGGAAAAGTAATGTTGTGTCTGTTGTATTTCATGTTTTTCCACTGTAGCGATTGCTTTTCCATTCCTTTATGTAGATTATATCCACCACTGAAGTAAATAGGGTGAATACATTTACTAATATAATTCTGTGTTTATCTTTCTCTCACTGTTAACGTTTTATCTTGAGGTCAGCACATGTTTTGTAGAGAGGGCTATTTCAGGGTGGTTAAACTACCAATTTCAGCTCATGTTCATTTCATTATTGCTAGTAATTGTCACTTTATTTTTTTGCATGTACATTTACAAAAATGTTATATTAAAATGTTTGCCTTCTTGACCACTGTTGATCCTTTTTGTCCATTTTGTCAAGGGCTCTGAACATTACTGTCTGTTAAGGAGGGTATAACATACTGTTTTTCTGTTTTAAAAGAACAGATTTCTCTGAGTAAATTCATTGAAGATGAATTTAAAGGGAGAGATAGAAAATATCTAAATTTTGTATATGATTTGAAAGCCAAAGATACATGATGCTTGCTTGCTAATTACAGAGTTATGGCCTGATGTGGGTGGAATTGGTTGGCACGTGTTTAAGCCTGCTCAAGTGCAGGACTGTTGTCACAAACATATAGTATTTTTTATTACAAACCCCGTAAATAAATGTAAGTGTAAATAAATCTGAATGCAGTGATGTGCAAATTATTTAAACTCTATATTTAATTGAAAATAGTACAAAGACAACATATCAGATGTTGAACTGTAAAAATATATGCCTATTTTGAATTTGATGCCAGCAACACGTTTCAAAAAAGTTGGGACGGGGACATGTTTACCACTGTGTTTCATCACCTCTTCTTTTAACAAACTCTGAAAGCATTTGAGAACTGAGGAGACCAATTGCTGTAGTAAAAACTGAAATGGTTTCCCATTCTTGCATGTTATATGTATTTCATTGCTCAACTGTTCAGGGTCTCCTTTGTCATATTTTTAATTTCATGATGCGCCGCATGTTTTCAATGACTGACAGGTCTGCACTGCAAGCAGGACAGTTTAGCACACAGACTCTTTTACTATGAAACATGCTGTTGTAATATGTGCAGAATGTGGTTTGACACTGTCTTGCCAAAATAAGCAAGATCTTCCCTGAAAAAGATGTCATCTGGATGGCAGCAGATGTTGCTCCAAAACCTGTACATATCGTTCAGCATTAATGGTGCCTTCACAGATGTGTAAGTCAACCATGCCATGTGCACTATTGCACCCCAATACCATCACGGATGCTGGCTTTTGATAACAAGCCGGATGGTCCCGGATGGCTGAAGCCATAGGACGCGTCAATGATTGCCAACAAGAATTTCTTTCTTTGATTTGTTGACCACAGAACACTTTTCCACTTCGCCTTAGTCCATCTTAAATGAGTTCTGGCCCAGAGAAGGTGGCTGCGTTTCTGGATCCTGTTTATATGTGGTTTCTTCTTTGCATTTTAGAGTTTTAACTTGCATTTGCAGATGCAGTGATGAACTGTGTTCACAGACAATTTTCAGTTAAATATAGGGCTTAAATGATTTGCGCGTCATTGCATTCTGTTTTTATTTACATTTTGCACAGTGTCCCAACTGTTTTGGAAACAGGGTTGTTTGTACTGCACACATACTAAATAGTATACTAACTGACACAACCAGAATGCAGTACTCTGCTATATCATTGTTTTTATAAAATGTATATTGATTGTTCTTACTTCTGATATGAAGGCCATTTGATGACGTTAGTCTGTCTCATGATGAAAGTAACATAACGTTTAACTTAAGCGATTTTTATATTTTTCTATTTTAAATATGATTTTTTTATTTGAAATGATTTAATGTTTATGATCAATTGTGATGTTTCAATGCAGGCTAATTAAAGGAGTTTTAAATTGGTAAAGTTGCTCACTTTTATTTCTCTTATTACTGTTCTTAAAGTTTTTTTTTATTATTCAATCCATTGCTAAAAAATGGAAGGATCTTTCCTAATGTTTAAATGTTTCAAAAATAATATTTAGTTGCCACATAATGATTTTATTTGTTGTTTGGTTTAAATTTAAAGCTCAGATTATTTTTTGTTGCTTTATTCTTTGAATATTTGAACATTGTGCCAACCATCCCTATAATACATGCTGTGTTGGGTCTGGTTAGGACAAATGCATACATGCATTTAGTAATTAATGCATTAATTCCAGGAAATATCTTTTGATGTTAAAAGTGTCTGTTTTAGTTAACATATCCAGCTTTCATTTGCTGCTAGTTGGGTTAACTTATTCTACAGTATGTGTGGGATATATGCCAGGGTAGGGCTGTCACCATCATGAAATGTTAGCTGATAATTAATAAAAATAATTATTAACAATTGTATGATAATTGCCATATAAAAATGTAATTTCTTGTTCATTGTATGTAGTTATTAAGGTACACACTTTATTAATAAAAATGATAAAAATTAGGCTGATTAGCCATCTTGCTTTTTGGCTGTGTTTACTGAGTAGCTAATACTGGTTGTACTGACTTGACACATTGACACGAACACCTACCATTTGTTGATTCACGTAATTAGAATTAGCTACGTTAATAATAAATAAGCAAATAAGCTTTTTGGTTTGTGTGGATGTGTCTCAATGAATGCATTTACAGCCTTTTTTACTTAATTTGATGTGGCTCAAAAAAATTAATCATCTCAGATAATTGTGATGAAGTCTTTTATATAACAATTGTGACAGGCCTGCGCCAGAGAGTGGAAATTGTGCTACCTAACCCCACTCTCCCCTACTCTGGACAGAATTATGTGTGGTGGTACATACATTTGGAATCAAACAAAGCATAAGACAAGATTGGGTATTTATTAAATTTGTGTTATGTACCGATAATATATTCACCTCTGAAACCTGTGATCTGTTTTTGTCTCCTCAGCTGAGTGTGAAAGACCCAACATTGGAGATAACAGAGTTTTGACTATTGAACCAGGCAAACCGCCTTACTTAAATGGATCCACTGCAACATTCAAGTGTTCAGTTGGTTATAAACCTGTCCATTTTAGAGCCAGCAAGTCTATTGTGTGTATCGACGGCCAGTGGACAGAACTGAAACTTCAATGCCAAAGTAATCATGTTGAAATTTTCTCATTGCATACATTCACCCATGCACAATATAGATTTCATATTCTCTGTAATAATGACTTTGTTTATATATAGCCTCAGTATTGTAGGATTTTTTTTAAATCGTCCTGTTTTGCATAAAATACATGAATGAAATACATAAAGAAAATAATGGATAACAATTAAAAATAAAGACTGAACCGAGTGCTGGAAGTGTACTCACATAATTAGGAGATGATTTCTTTAGAAAGGTGTGAAGCAGTATCAGTCAGTGCAAGAAAAGAGTTTTTAACCATCCAAGTGTTTCAGATTTCTCACTCTCTCCTGCCTTTCTTCTTTCTTTCCTTCCTTATTTCCTTCCTTCCTTGTTTCCTTCTTTGTTTCTTTGATGCTTCCTTCCTCGTTTCCTTGTTTTCTTTGTTTGCTTCCTTCCTTCCCTCCTTCCTTCCTTCTTTTCTTTCTTGTTTCCTGCCTTCCTGCCTGCCTCACTCACTTTCTAGAAAAGTCCTGTGGAAGTCTACCTGAGATCCCCAATGGGAAATTTTTACTTGATGAAGGAATTGAGTTTGGTGCGACAGCTGTTGCACAGTGTAACACAGGGTCAGTGAAATTATTCTGGCTTTTGAGCTTTTCATTTTGGTTTGTTTGTGTTTGCTTATGCAAACATGTATGCATGTACATGAAAAGAGTACATGCTGTAAATTGTAAATGCAAGATTAAATGAATATGCATGTGCCTTTAGGATAAAAAACAAACAAAAAAATCCCTAAATGAATATTGTCTGCTTCCAGCCATCAGCTTGTTGGACAACAATATAGACGTTGCCTAGATGCTGGATGGAGTGGGAGAAACCCTACCTGTGAAGGTTATTAATTTATTTGTTTATTTGTTTGTTTATTTGAATTTCAGGTTGGTTAATGTGAACATGTACTTAATTTGGATGAATTTAGACAACATCATTTCATAATTATTTAAAATCTTTATAACATCAACATTTTTTACATCTTTACCTTTTTTTCTCTTTAGCGGTGAAATGTCTTGAACCTCCCTCAATAGAAAATGGAGAACTTGAGGATGCGTACTACGAGTCATATGAATATGGACAAGCAGTCACGTACCGCTGTAAAAGAGGGTTCACTCTTGTTGGACAGGCAACAATATCATGCTCAATTGATAGAACTTTTCAGCCTTCTCCTCCTCAGTGTTTAGGTGAGTTATGCTGGATTCACTGTATCAAAGTGATTATGTTGGCCTTATTTTGAGATTATTTGAGAAAGTATACAGTGTTCATATATATGAATAAAACTGATAGGATCCTGTGGATCCTTATAAAGACCTAAAATAGAATTTAAAAATTTTATTCTCAAAATATCTTATATACATTATGGTATCCCAGGTGGTTGCTAAGGTGTTGTTAGGCCATTGTTATCTCAGGCGGTTGCTAAGGTGTTGCTAGGCCATTGCTATGGTATCCCAGGTGGTTGTTAAGGTGTTGCTAAGCTGTTGCTAAGCTGTTGCTATGGAATCCCAGGTGGTTGCGAAGGTGTTGCTTGGCTGTTGCTATGCTTGTTAAGATGTTCCTTGACTGTTACTGAGTTGTCACAGGTGGTTGCTAATGGATTTGTGTTAGTATGTATATAAGTCTGTATGTAATGTCTGTGAGGGACAATAAGAGAGTTGTCATATGTAACATCATTTGTGGCAGTTTCTCACCATTCCACCATGCATTTCCTATTGTAGAAAAAATGAGCTGTGAAAAAAGCATAGCATATTAAAATAAAGAACTGTAATTTAGCATTGTTAAGCCAATAAGAACCATATTTAACAACTAAAAAAAATAGCAGAAATAGTGCTGTTGTTTCAAGTCATTTGTCTCATATATGCATCCTGTGCACTTACATTTATGAGCATCAGATGTGGCTTCAGTAAAGTTTTGTAAAGACTTTGTAAATACATATATATATATATATATATTCATATATAATATTATATAATAATATAATATTATATAAATAATAATAATTCACGCTATTGGTAGCAGCTGTTGAGCCACAGATTTCTCACCTTGATGGGATTCTCAGGCCCTAGATCACAGAGGTGTCTGGTGCAGCTGACTGATGAAGGCACCCTGCAGGTCAAGTGGACACGCTGGCCCAGCTAGCAGGCTAACCCCAGGCCAGAATCTGTTGTTAGCCCAAGAGACCAGCAGTTCCTATTTCTCAGACTGCAACTGGATGATAGGTTGGACTGGTCAGCAAACACAGTCATCCTGTACAGAAAGGGGCAAAGCTGGCTCTATTTTCTGAGGAGGCTGAGGTCCTTTAACATCTGTAGGAAGCTCCTGCAGATGTTCTATCAGACCGTGGTTGCCAGCTGTCTTTTTATGCTGTGGTGTGCTGGGGAGGAAGCATGAAAAAGAGAGACGAGTTGGACAAGCTGGTCAGGCGAGCGGGGTCAGTGGACAGTGTGGAACTGGACTTTGTGGTTAAGGTGGCCGAGAGAAGGACACTGCAGAGACTGCTCTCCATTATGGATGATGATGGCCACCCACTGCCCACTATCTATCTATCTATCTATCTATCTATCTATCTATCATCACCCCCTCAATCACAATCTGGACTAACATTAACTTAGACTGTAAAGGACTGCACAGCAGAAGATGAGGGACTGCTGAAAGAAGCCAAAATCAGCCACATAACAGGGCTAACGTTAGGGCTAACTGTTACTCTGGATGTTATGTCATTTGTCACACATTGTTAATATTAATAGGCAGTATTAAAGGAAATTCTGACCTGATGGTATCGGTATGGTGTCAGTACTCTCTACTGCCGATAACAATACTGCTTTTCGTGCCAGTATCAGCATTTATGCAACACAAATTTTCACAGGACGTTGTTCTCACTTCTCCTGTTTCACCCCTCACTGCTCACTAACAGTTACTAACAGCAGTTACTGGGTGAAAAATTATTATTTTGTTCTGATTATACTGATTACAGATTTCCCAGTCTGTTTCCATTTACTGACAAAATGGCCCCTAGGGGACCTGCAGAAAAGACTAAGTTTAATTTATTATTATGTATATAATAATGACAATTGTTGGCAAGTGGTTCTACACTTTTCAATGATAATTTAAGTGTGTATCCCTCATATTTGTATGTATCCATGTTTGGTTTTCTAATATCTGTGTAAATATAACAGAAATGAATACATGCTATATGCTATAGAGTGTGTATATGTTTGATGAGGTCTTTTAAAGATAATAAAAAGCATTGAATGTAATTATAAAAATTGTCCAGCAACTTGGGAATTTAAATATTGTGCATTCATGCCCTGCATATTCACTCTGCTCTTTATCCAGTCGTCTCCTGTGAGAAACCAGACATTCCACATGGAATTCGAGTTGAAGGAACGATGCCACCCTATAAATACAAATCTAGCGTCCGCTATCAGTGTGACATTGGCTACAAAATGAATGGGCCCGGTTACATGATCTGTGAAGTAAGTGGCTGGGTCCCACCTCTTGTAAATTGCACCGGTAAGAATAATCATTGTTTCTAAATGCATTAGAAACTTAGTTTACTTTTTCTACACCTCTACTAATCTGAGCTCCTATTTAGCCATTTCATTATTTTGTTTTTATGTGATTTATGTGCAGGGTAACATGGCCCTGTTCTCTTGATTACAGTGTCTTCAAGTGGCCATTCTCACAAAGGCAACCTATTCTACATATCCTACATATTTTTATTTTTCATTGAGGTCTACTTATTACATTTGTGCTCTTTTATGCACCAGTAAACAGTCATTATTCATTTTACATGACTGTTTTGCAACCACTCTTCATACTTAGAATTAAATAAGCTGTTTCCGTTACCGTGCCTTTAAGACTGATATATATAGATGACAAGGATTGGCAGTCCTGTACTGTGTGTCACTGAAAAAGTGTTCAGAGCTAAAATACTGCTTCTCTTCATTTGGCTTTAGCATCTTCAGAACAAGACGTAATTTCCAATGTTTTCAATTTTCAATTTTGTCTGCCCCATAAGGTTCAGCTTAGAAGCACACACACAAAACACATCCTGTACACCATAAACTATACAGTAGTGTGCAAAAGAGACCAGACACCCACTTCATTTGTTTCCAGCGAGCAAAGACCACTTAATACAGTTAAAAATAAATGCTCATTTTTAATGTCAAAAGAACATATATGTAACAGACAAATACACAGAAGCCTTAAAAGCATAATTTTTCCAGTATTTAGTGTGTCCACCCTTTACCTTTATTACAGCTTCCATTCTCTTCAGGAGACTGGCTTTCACTTCTTTAAAGAAAGCCAGCAGGGATATGTTTTCTGCATCTCCAAAGTTCAGTCTTAGAAGTTGGTTGCATTTTCTCTTTCTTGCAATCTAAATAATCCCAAACACATTTATTGATGTTGAGGTTTGGTTTCTAAACCATTGTGAGATAAAACCCAAGACTTTGACATTTCCACCTCTGTGCTTTACAGTACTCTTAGTGCAGTCTCCCCTCCAGACTTTCTCCACACAGAGAGTCTACCATCAGTTTCATGTTGTGTTTTTCTCTAAAACAAACATTGTTGTGTTAAACATTTTAGATGATATACAATATAAATTTAAATTCAGGACATAATCTAACTTTATTCAATTAACTCTTTAACACATTTCCAGGTCCACTGCCACAGGCTGGTAGCATAGTTTGGAGATGGACATAAACAAAGTCCTTATCTCATGTCACAGTAACTTTCTCAAGGAACAGCCATACCAGAAATACAAGGCCTCACAGAGACACAAAAGCCAAGGAAACACATTTCAAGATGTCAAAATGGCCACTAAGTACAAGTTATTTGTTTTTCAGTGTCAGGCAAAAATCAGAAATTATATGTTTAATAGAAAATTAGACAGAAACGTCAACAATTAAATATAATTTTGGAGTATTTGGTGTGTTCCCCCTTTGTTCAGTCATAAAAGTTGGTTGTATTTTCTGCTTCTCACCATCCAAGAAATCCCAAAACCATTCAGTGATGTTAAGGTCTGGACACTGGGATGGACAGTCCATTTTTCTGAGAACACCAGCTTGTTTGTATTGGTTTGTTTTATATTTTGATATTCAGTTTTTTTTTATTGTTTAACTGGTCCGTGACAGCTGCTCGTTCTTTCAGACTCATAGGGCTGAGTTGTTTTCTCGCAGTGGAAGGAAGAACTTAAACAAGATAAAATAAGAGTGGAGCTTGATTTTCAGCTATTTCTCAAAGATAAAGGCTTTTTTGACAGTGACAGTTGGTCTACCAGTCGTTAGGAGTCCCGTTTTCTTCATATACTTTCTTAATTTTTAAATTCTAGTTTTGGAAACTAATTTTTTTTACTTATTTTCTTTTAGACCATCCAACAAATGGATTGTATTATATCTAATCTCCCCTGAAGTATCTTTTGAAAAATGAATAACTTGGAAATTAAATAAATGAAGGGTGGTTTCTGACTTTTGCACAGTACTGTATACTGGTCTGTCTAGTGTGATATTGTCTCTAATTGGATGCTAACATTTTACATTGAATGGAAATTTTATTATTTTACATTATGTAAGTCCAGTATTCATATTTCATGACTAAGAAAATATAGTATGATAGCTGGCTTCCTCCTTTTCTGTCGTAATCGACAGAATCTTCATGAAAACTGCATAAATGGATGTTAGAAGAAATTTCTTTTTGAGAACAGTTGGTGAGAGAAGCTCATTGATGAAATGCTCTGGACTCTCATTGTAGTTAATATTTGTTGCACTTTCTCACGTTGATGCATCAGTCATTGATAATTACTTAGTCATTTTCAGCCTGTAACAGCCCCACTGCCCCTCTCTTTTCTACTATTTACTGATTAACTGTTACCATTGAGTGCAGTCAGTGTCAGTGTTTCAAACCTGAAAAAATTACATTTCTTGTCTTTTCAGTGATCACATGCCCGAAACCTCCTGGTATAGAGAATGGACAAATTAATGAGCAACTCCGGGACGTTTATACATATGGACAAGCTGTGACATACTCATGTATGGAAGGCTTTAAACTTGTTGGAGCTTCAGAAAGAACGTGTTCTGGTGATGAAACTTTTCAACCTTCTCCTCCTCGGTGTCAGGGTAAGTGATTTTATCAGTATTTTTGGATCTTTATTGCTTTAATGTTTAACATAGAGAGTTTTACACTGGCTTCTGAAGTTTTTGTTCTCAGATGTGTTAGTTTTTATGATTACACATGATTTCAGTATGAGGCATATTCAGCATTTCTAAAGTCCTTCATGCTTCTGCTATTAATAACAGTATTGAGAATAAGAGTGAGATTCAATGCCAAGTGAGCAGATAAACTTCCATAGCAAATACTGTGAGGCACAGAATGGAGATACTATAATAGCACTGAATAAAGTAACATCTTTTGTTTTGTTTTGTTAAAAAAATAAAAATAAATCAACCTCAACATATTAATGATGCAAAAATAAATATATTCTAGTGCAAATTGCATTTGGTATCATTATGAAAGACATTGCCAATGGTTGGGAAGATTTCGCTCAATAAGAAGCAATCATGGTGGAGTTGAGGGAGCTTTCTAAAGTTCTTAGAGATAATATTATTAAACAGCACTCGAAAGGAAGAAGCTACAGAGTAGAGGTCTGCACTACCACAGATTCCTGGGTGACCCGTCAAAATATCTTGCAGCGTAGGACTAATTTTCAGTATTGCTTGCGGGAGCGGGTGGGAAATCAGACCTCTTCAGGTGGGAGCGTCAGAAGCAGGCATGAAGAGAAATCCAGCAAATCAATTAATAGCCTAAATGAAGTAGATCACTAAATCATATATATATAAACAATATAACTGTAAAACAGTTACAATGAATAAAGTCATTCTCGAGCAACCGATCACGTGAACAACACCCACATTCTCATAGGTCTGATTCACAAAGTCTTGCTTTTCATTTCGGCCCCCATGGTAAGTGGTCAGTGCTTTCAAACAGGCTGTGCGTGCGAAGCGGGAGTCTCACACGATTCACTGAAGCGGTGCAGTGTATAGGATAATGTATCTGTGATTAGACTGTGTCAAATATTGGATGTCTGTTCGCTTTGACGCAACTGCGCGGGCGGGAGCGGGACAAATCATTTCCGTTGTGGGTGGGAGCTGGAAAAATGATTCAGATTTTCTGCGGGAGTGGGACTGAAACAACAGTCCCGTGCAGACCTCTACTACAGAGCATTAGCAAAGACCTTGAACATCCCTGTCAGTACACCACTAATCATCCTCAGACAGGTGTGCCGTGCAAGATTTCTCTCAGACTAATGTAAAGGAGGGCAGGAGAGAAACTAGCAGAGTCGCAGGACGAATTGAAAGCAGCAGGAACGACAATTACACACAGAACTATATGCAGTGAACCGCCCTGCACCAAGATGCACGTCTTAAAACTGCACACAAATCAGAACGGTTTTGGAACAATGTACTCTGAATCAAAAATAAAACTCTTTGTAATAATTCAGCTCATCATGTTTAGAGAAAGAAGGGTTGTGCATATGATCCCAACAGCAGCATATCCTCGCAGTGAAGTATGAAGGTGGGAGCATCATGATATAGGGCTGCTTCTCTGCAAATGCTACTGGGGCATAACATGTCAACAATGGAAATATTAATGGAGAGATGTGCCAGGATATATTAGAGGATTATTTAACCTCATTAGCCAAGAAAGGGGAGAAGATGGGAAAGGTTGAGGAATTTGCTGAGAGGAATCAGCCAAAACTGAACCTCAGTGTTGCAAGTACTAATGTTATTAATGTGTGGTGTCTGAACACTTATGTCATATATATATATATATATATATATATATATATATATATACATATATATATAAAAAGAATATAAAGATGAATAGAATTTTAATTAACAAATAGAGGTTTGTTAGATTTTTCTTAGGTGTATTATTTAGAGATTATTTTTACAGTATAAATTGTGTACTTCGTCTACATTTCCAATTTTTTCTGACTGCCGTTCTGATTTCACATCAATTGAATATCAACAATAATATTTGGGATCACCATTTCTTAGATGCGTTATGATACACTCAGCTCACGATTCAATTCAGTTTGAATAAGTTCACAATATTAGGTTCACAATTCAATATTTTCATGATATTTTGAATCTAATTTGAGCCAAGAAGAGTGATGACTGTATCCGTGATGTTGCATAATCTACTAATGACACTAGAGCTGGGAGGCAGGAGGAGAGCTGGAGGGAAATGTTGATTGGTGCTGGTAGTTTGCCAGTTTCAGTGTTCAAACAATACACTTACATTATTCGTATATTATAATTAATACTATTAAATTCCATCGTCTACAGTGCACATCGTCACGTTTTTGCATCGTGGTATCACAATGTTTTGATGCATTGTTACACACTGAGAAGAAGTATGGTCTCATTATAAGATGGCTACAAAAATCTAAAATTATCACTGCCTTGATAACAAACTGGACTAACATTAGCGCTGTTGCACTGTATGTTATGACATTTGTTTTTTGGAACACCATTAATATTACAAAGAAACATTTAAAGGAAATTTCGAACCAGTATATCACCCATTACTGTTATAGATTTTGCAGTAAGCATCGTCACTACTGCTTGTCAACCCACATCTCTGATGTGATGCTTTCTTTCTACTGGCACATGCATGTCAAAAATTGCCTCATGCTATCGGTATTCTCTATTACTGGTACTGATACTGCTTTTTAAGTGCCAGTATCAGCATTGATGCAACACTGATTACCAGGGAAAAAAATATTATTTTCTTCTATTATATTGTTTAAAATGTTCACAGTCTCTGACAAAATGAAGCTTTGAGTACTGTTTATATGATAGTGAAAGTTTAGTTGGTCTACCAGGTCCTGCACAGTTGTTTGGAGTCTCATTGTCTTTATATATTTTCATAGTTTTTATTCTAGTTTTGAATATCTTGCACTTAATGGCCGTTTTGACTGGACATTAAATAAATGAAGGGTGGTCCCTGACTTTTGCACAGTACTGTTTACTGGTCTGTCAAGGGTAGTATTGTCTCTAATTGGATGCTAACATTTTGTCTTGAATGGAAATTTTATTATTTTACATTATATGAACCCAGTATTTATATTTCGTGACTAAGAAAATATGGCATGATACCTGGCTTCCTCATTTTCTATCGTATGTAATTGGTTCTCTTTTCCTATCATATGTAATCAATCACATAAGAACACTGGGACTCAATATCTTTCTAAGTTTTTGTAAGAAGATTCTAAAGATAAAGATTCTAAGAAAAAGTCTACATGAGATTCATGATGTGTTCTTAAACCTCAGAACTGTTCACACCTTTGTGTTCTTGAGTTTGTGTGGATTCTGTTCTTACCTAAGAACAAATCCCAAAACAGAAAACACATTTAGTGAATGTCAGAATCTTTGTAAAAAAAACTGCGTAAGTGGGTGTTAAGAAGAAATTTCTTTTTGAGAACAGTTGGTGAGAGAAGCTCCTTGATGAAATGCTCTGGACTCTCACTGTAGTTAATATTTGTTGCACTTTCTCACGTTGGTGCATCAGTCATTGATAATTACTTAAAGTCATTTTCAGCCTGTAACAGCCCCACTGCCCCTCTCTTTTCTACTATTTACTGTGACCATTGAATGCAGTCTGTGTCAGTGTTTCAAACCTGAAATAATATAATTATTAATAATAAATAATCAATAATTGCCTTTCTTGTCTTTTCAGTGATCACATGCCCGAAACCTTCTGGTATAGGCCCTGTTCTCTTGATTACAGTCTCTTTAAGTGGTCATTCTCACAAAGGCAACCTATTCTACATATCCTACATATTTTTATTTTTCCCTTGAGGTCTGCTTATTACATTTGTGCTCTTTTGTGCACCAGTAAACAGTCATTATTCATTTTACATGACTGTTTTCCAACCATTCTTTATCCTTTAGAATTAAATAAGCTGTTTCCGTTACCGTGCCTTTAAGACTGATATATATAGGTGACAAGGATTGGCAGTCCTGTACTGTGCGTCACTGAAAAAGTGTTCAGAGCTGAAATACTGCTTCTCTTCATAGCATCTTAAGAACATGACGTAATTTCCAGTGTTTCCATTTTTTTCACATTCTGTACACCATAAACTATACAGTAGTGTGCAAAAGAGACCAGACACCCACTTCATTTGTTTCCAGCCAGCAAAGGCCACTAAATACAGTTAACAATAAATGCTCATTTTTATTGTTGAAGGAAAGCAAAAAACATATATTTAACAGAAAAGAAGCCTTAATAACTAAACATAGCATAATTTTCTTCAGTATTTAGTGTGTCCACCCTTTCTTACAGCTTCCATTCTCTTGAGGAGACTGGCTTTCACTTCTTCAAAATAAATCGGCAGGGATATGTTTTCTGCATCTCCAAAGTTCAGTCTTAGAAGTTGGTTGCATTTTTTCTTTCTTGCAATCCAAATAATCCCAAACACATATATTGATGTTGATGTCTGTTTTCTAAACCATAAGACAAAGCTTCAGACTTGTTTTACAGTACTCTTATTGCAGTCTGGTTGGAATTCCCTTCCAGACTTTCTCCACACAGAGAGTCTACCATCAGTTTGATGTTGTGCTGGAAGTATTTTTCTCTAAAACAAATATTGTTGTGTTAAACATTTTATGAAATAATTTAAACAACTTTATTAATGTTTACCAATGGATAGAGGGTCCAAATCTTTTTGAGAGCACTATATATACAAGTTTGAAAGATATAAATTTAATTTCAGGACATAATCTAACTTTATTTAATTAACACTTTAACACATTTCCAGGTCCACTGCCACAGGCTGGTAGGATAGTTTGGAGATGGACATAAACAAAGTCCTTATCTCATGTCGCAGTAACTTTCTCAAGGAACAGCCATACCAGAAATACAAGGCCTCACAGAGACACAAAAGCCAAGGAAATACATTCAAGTCATCAAAATGGGCACTAAGTTATTTTTCAGTGTCAGGCAAAAATCAGAAATCATATGTTTAATAGAAAATTACACATAGACATCAGCAACTAAATATAATATCAAACTTTGGTGTATTTAGTTTGTCCCCCCTTTGTTCAGTCATAAAAGTTGGTTGTGTTTTCTGCTTCTCACCACATTCTCAAACACATTCAGTGATGTAAAGGTTTGGACTGTGGGGTGGACAGTCCATTGTTCTGAGAACACCAGCAGCTTGTTTGTATTGGTTTGTTTTATATTTTGATATTAATTTTTTTTATTTTATTGTTTAACTGGTCCTTGACAGCTGCTCGTTTTTTCAGACTCATAGTGTTGAGTTGTCATCTCACAGTGGAAGGAAGGACAGAAACACTTGTGGATTTTTACAGATCTAAAATAAGAGTGGAGCTTGATTTTCAGCTGTTTCTTTTGCTTTTTTGATAGTGACAGTTTAGCTGGTCTACCAGGCCTTGCACAGTTCTAGGAGTCCTGCTTTCGTTATAAACTTATATACTAGTTTTAGAAACTGTTTTTTTTCCACTTATTTTCTTTAGACCATCCACTTTCTTATACAAATGGATTATATTACATCTAAGTATCTTCTGAAACTTGTGCTAAATGGTTGTTTTGACTGGACATTAAATAAATGAAGGGTGGTCCCTGACTTTTGCACAGTACTGTTTACTGGTCTGTCTAGTGTGACATTGTCTCTAATTGGATGCTAACATTTTTTTGAATCCAGTATTTATAATTGATGACTAAGAAAATATAGTATGATATATCTGTCGTATGTAATCGCACAAGAACATTGGGCCTCATTCATCATATCTTCATAAGTTTTTTCTTAAATTTCTTCTTGAGAAAGGTCCTAAGAAAAAATCGACGTCAGATTCATGATTTATGTGTGTGGATTCTGTTCAGAAAACACATTTAGTGAATGTCAGAATCTTTGTAAAAAAAAACTGCGTAAGTGGGTGTTAAGAAGAAATTTCTTCTTGAGAACAGTTGGTGAGAGAGGCTTATTGATGAAATGCTCTGGACTCTCACTGTAGTTAATATTGGTTGCACTTTCTCAAGTTGGTGCATCAGTCATTGATAATTACTTAAAGTCATTTTCAGCCTGTAACAGCCCCACTGCCCCTCTCTTTTCTACTATTTAGTGAGGACTGTGACCATTGAGTGCAGTCAGTGTCAGTGTTTTAAACCTGAAATAACTGCCTTTCTTGTCTTTTCAGTGATCACATGCCCGAAACCTCCTGGTATAGAGAATGGACGAATTAATGAGCAACTCCAGGACGTTTATACATATGGACAAGCTGTGACATACTCATGTATGGAAGGCTTTGAACTTATTGGAGCTTCAGAAAGAACATGTTCTGGTGATGGAACTTTTCAACCTTCTCCTCCTCGGTGTCAGAGTAGGTGGCTTTTATTTTTGGATCTTTATTGCTTTAATATTTAACATAGAGAGTTTTTCACTGGCTCCTGAAGTTTTGTTCTCAGATATGTTTTTATGATTACACATGATTTCAGTATGAGGCGTATTCAGCATTTCTAAAGTCCTTCATGCAACAGTATTGAGAATAAGAGTGAGATTCAGTGCCAAGTGAGCAAATAAACTTCCATAGCAAATACTGTGAGGCACAGAATGGAGATACTATAATGAATTAAGTGCTGAATGAAGTTTTTGAAAGAAGAGGTACAGTGAGGGGAGGCAAGTATTCAGACACAGACATTTTTTTTATTTTTAAAAATAAAAATAAATCAACCTCAACATATTAACAATACAAAAATAAAAATATTGTAGTGCAAATTGCATTTGGTATCATTACACTCTCAGAAATAAAGGTATGAAACTGTCACTGGGGCAGTCCCCTTCTTGTCACTGGGGTGGTACCCTCAGGGGTACATCTCAGTACCTTTAGTCAGGGAACATAACTGTACCATGATCCACTGAAATGATATTTTCTAAGTTGTATTGACTCCACACACCCCGTCTCGTCTCCAGACTTTTTATTTTATTGTTCTGTTTTACAACATGAGTTTATGAAAAGGTACAAATATGTACTTTTTACCTGGAAAAACCTATTTAAGGTACACAACTGGTCCTTAAAACCACTTTAAAACCTTTGAGGCTACAGTTGCATTTTTTGTACCTTAATGAATGAAAAATGTACCTGTACAGAATCTTTATTTCTAACAGTGTCTAAAAGACATTGCCAATGGTTGGCAGGATTTCACTCAACAAGTAGGAATCATGGTGAAGTTGAAGGAGCTTTCTAAAGTTCTTAGAGATAATACTATTAACCAGCACTACAGAGACACAGCTACAGAGTAGAGGTCTGCACTACCACGGATTCCAACGGGACCCGTCACAATATCTTGTGCTGCGGGAGTAATTTTCAGTGTTGCTTGCTGGAGCGGGTGGGAAATCAGACCCCTGGTAGCGGGTAGAAGCAGGCATGAAGAGAAATTCCACAAATCAATTAATAGCCTAAATGAAGTAGATCACTAAATCATATATATATAAACAATATAACAGTAAAACAGTTACAATGAATAAAGTCATTCTCAAGCAACCGATCACGTGAACAACACCCACATTCTCATAGGTCTGATTCACAAAGTCTTGCTTTTCATTTCGGCCCCCATGGTAAGTGGTCAGTGCTTTCAAACAGGCTGCGCGTGTGAAGCGGGAGTCTCACGCGATTCACTGAAGCGGCGCAGTGTATAGGATAATGTATCTGTGATTAGACTGTGTCAGATATTGGATGTCAATTTGCTTTGACGCAACTGCGCGATTCAGATTTTCTGCGGGAGTGGGACTGAAACAACAATCTTGCGCAAACCTCTACAACAGAGCCTTAGCAAAGACCTTGAACATCCCTGTCAGTACATTTGGTTGATAACAGGCAAGAGGAAAGTACTAATGACACTCGAGCTGGGAGGCAGAAGGAGAGCTGGAGGGAAGTGTTGATTGGTGCTGGTAGTTTGCAAACTTTAGTGTTCAAACAGTACACTTACATTATTCATATATTATAATTAATACTATTACTATTATAGATTTTGCAGTGAGCATCGTCACTACTGCTTGTCAACCCACACCTCTGATGTGATGCTTTCTTTCTACTGGCACATGCATGTCAAAAATTGCCTCATGCTATCGGTATTCTCTATTACTGGTACTGATACTGCTTTTTAAGTGCCAGTATCAGCATTGATGCAACACTGATTACCAGGGAAAAAAATATTATTTTCTTCTATTATATTGTTTAAAATGTTCACAGTCTCTGACAAAATGAAGCTTTGAGTACTGTTTATATGATAGTGTGGATTCTGTTCTTACCTAAGAACAAATCCCAAAACAGAAAACACATTTAGTGAATGTCAGAATCTTTGTAAAAAAAAACTGTGTTAAGAAGAAATTTCTTCTTGAGAACAGTTGGTGCCCCTCTCTTTTCTACTATTTAGTGAGGACTGTAATCATTGAGTGCAGTCAGTGTCAGTGTGTCAAACCTGAAATAACTGCATTTCTTGTCCTTTCAGTGATCACATGCCCAACACCTCCTGGTATAGAGAATGGACGAATTAATGAGCAACTCCAGGACGTTTATACATATGGACAAGCTGTGACATACTCATGTATGAAAGGCTTCAAACTTATTGGAGCTTCAGAAAGAACGTGTTCTGGTGATGGAACTTTTCACCCTTCTCCTCCTCGGTGTCAGAGTAGGTGGCTTTTATTTTTTCATCTTTATTGCTTTACATTAGGTACAGTGAGGGGAGGCAAGTATTCAGACACTTTCACAATCAGGTTTACACATCTTTTGTTTTGTTTTGTTAAAAAGGTTAAAAATAAAAATAAATCAACCTCAACATATTAACAATACAAAAATAAAAATATTGTAGTGCAAATTGCATTTGGTATCATTGCACTCTCAGAAATAAAGGTATGAAACTGTCACTGGGGCAGTCCCCTTCTTGTCACTGGGGTGGTACAGAATCTTTATTTCTAACAGTGTCTAAAAGACATTGCCAATGGTTGGCAGGATTTCACTCAACAAGTAGGAATCATGGTGGAGTTACAGGAGCTTTCTAAAGTTCTTAGAGATAATATTATTAATGTATAGGATAATGTCTCTATGATTAGACTGTGTCAGATATTGGATGTCTGTTCGCTTTGACGCAACTGCACGCTAGAGCGGGACAAATGATTCAGATTTTCTGCGGGAATGGGACTGAAACAACAGTCTCACACAAACCTCTACAACAGAGCCTTCGCAAAGACCTTGAACATCCCTGTCAGTACATTTGGTTGATAACAGGCAAGAGGAAAGTTCATAAAATCACAACTAATCATCCTCAGACAGGTGTGCCGTGCAAGATTTCTCTCAGACTAATGTAAAGGAGGGAGAAACTAGCAGAGTCGCAGGACGAATTGAAAGCAGCAGGAACGACAGTTACACACAGAACTATATGCAATGAACTGCACCGCACCAAGATGCACGTCTTAAAACTGCACACAAATCAGAACGGTTTTGGAACAATGTACTCTGAATCAAAAATAAAACTCTTTGTAATTATTCAGCTCATCATGTTTAGAGAAAGAAGGGTTGTGCATATGATCCCAACAGCAGCATATCCTCGCAGTGAAGTATGAAGGTGGGAGCATCATGATATAGGGCTGCTTCTCTGCAAATGCTACTGGGGCATAACATGTCAACAATGGAAATATTAATGGAGAGATGTACCAGGATATATTAGAGGATTATTTAACCTCATTAGCCAAGAAAGGGGAGAAGATGGGAAAGGTTGAGGAATTAAAGAAGATTTGCTGAGAGGAATCAGCCAAAACTGAACCTCAGTGTTGCAAGTACTAATGTAATTAATGTGTGGTGTCTGAACACTTATGTCATATATACATATAAAATATATATATATAAAAATTAATAGAATTTTAATTTTTAATATAATTTTTCGATAGAAATTTGTTAGATTTTTCTTAGGTGTATTATTTAGAGTTTATTTTTACAGTATTAATTGTGTAATTTGTCTGCATTACCAATTTTTTCTGACTGCAGTTCTAATTTCACATCAACTTAATATCAACAATAATGTTTGGGATCACTATTTCTTAGATATGTTATGATACACTCAGCTCAAGATTCGATTCAGTTTGATTTAGTTCACAATATTAGGTTCACAATTTAATATTTTAATGATATTTTGAATCTAATTTGAGTCAAGTAGAATAATGACCGTATCCATGATGTTGCATACAAAGCAATTTCAATTGCATTTCAATGTGTTCTGAAACATCTGAGAACTTTTGTGTGTGTGTGTGTGTGTGTGTGTGTGTGTGTGTGTGTGTGTGTGTGTGTTTAATCACACTGTTTTAACTGATTCATTGCAATTCTTCTCTTTTTAGTGGTGAAATGTCTAAGACCTCATATGCATACCGGACAATTTAAACCAGACCAAGAGACATATGAGTATGGACAAGAAGTCAGTTACCTTTGTAAAATACTCTTTTACAATAGAGCTTCAAAAGTGGTCTGTTCTGATGAAGGAAACTTTCATCCTGCTCCTCAATGTGTGGGTAAGTTATACTGGGTGAATAAAAATTCAAAAATAGTTCTGCTGTTTAATCTTTAAGTTTGAAAATGCATCGGTTTAGTGCTTAAAATTTTCACGTAAATGAAATTCACCTTTGAGTGTAGTAGTAGGAGGAAATGAAAATTTCCTTCAGACTCCTTTTGGCAGGGATCTGTTATAGGTCTTTTTTTTTAGTTTAGATAAGAGTTTATGTTAAGTAACACCAAAGTATAATGCATGGAATCCAAATTCCAAATAAGGAATTAATGTGTAAAAAAATCTATATAGTGGCTTCAGACAGTTGTAGACCAGGACCGAGTTCTGGATGATTATTGGGTATTATTGGCCCATGTATCCTACAGCAGAGCCACATTTTCTCATTGAAAAGCTAGAAAAAAAACTCTCTCTGAAGGTGAAATGAACTTTTGAAAAACCACAACTGCTGTGGGATGGATTTTTGAGGGCAGGCAGTTTGAAATGTTACAATGAATTGAATTGCAGAAGGATGCTAGATAGCTAACTTTACTGGTAAGAGGCCTGTTATCTTAATGCATCTGTAAAATTACGGTAACTGTCTGTAAATCGTTAGATGCCCGGTGAGGTCTGGGGCATTTTCGCAGACAGGAGATGAATGATTGAAAGTCAGAGTTTATCAATAGTCCTTCATATGTTATGATTATTCATCTCGGGCCTTCAGTGCAGATTCTTTTCAAGTTTTGTCGAGTCTGACTGTTTGACCTTGGCTTACTAAGCTGCAGCCTTTAAAAGAATAATTTAAAATGCTGGAGAAGCAGTCAAGTTTCTGAAATATCTTGTATTTGCAGAGTTGTTCAGCTTAAAAAGAACAGAATCACACCAGACGCTTTATTTATCTGCAGGAAACTAATAAAAATAATAGCAATAGTTTTTTTAATGGATTTTAAGATTTATTGTGCACTGTATCATCCCCAAAAGCCTGTTTTTGTCAAATTTTGCCTGCCTCTTCTGAATCTTTGTTTATATAAGTGGTTTAATTTGAGAGGTTTAAGGAGACAAACAGTTCTTGAGTTTTAGTAATGTAATTCAAAATCGCCAAAGCCTCAATTATTAATTAATATGTGGTGACTATGGTGGGCAGAAAAGTAAACAATTTTGAATAATTGAATTTACACAGATTATTTCAAGACCAATTTTGAAATGATCAGATTAAAACTGGTTTGCAAAGGGTTGTTTTCAAGTAGTTGATGTTAGAAGGATTTCATTGCATTTCTTGAAAACGCTTGTAATTGTTAAGTTATTAAGATCACTAAATTGCATTATTTTAACCCAGTTTCATCTCCTGAAGTGAAATAATGTACAAGACGTGGTCAATGCCTCCAGTGGTCAAATCTTTTGAAACTTCTTAGGCTAATCGAGAGTCGAGACTCAAGTTTAATAATGATTGGTCAATGTTAAGCCTGTCAAATATAAGCTGAAATCTGATTGGCTGATGGCAGCCACAGTTTTTCCAATTATCAAATCATCCTTAAAAAAACCGTCTTGTAAATAAGCTCAAAGATGTAGCATGCAAAATTTCAGCTTGATTGGATGTATGGGTACTTTTATACAACTTTTATAGCGCCCTTTATTGACATACATGTGCCAAAACTGACAGGCTACCTCAAGTCTTTTGAAATTTTGTAAACAAGTTTTTATTGATTTTATTTTATTAATTTTTGCATTCATATTACTAGCTACAGATTGAGTGACAAAAATAATATTTTTAAGCAAATGAAATCTCAAGTTGAATTTATTCTTTGTCATGTTTCATAGGTCACTATGGGATTTTGGTGTTTGTTTTACTGATACTCCTCTTGTTGCTGGGTAAGTGTTAGAATGAATTGTTACATTAATTAAGTGACTGACTGACCGTCTGGACCATCATTATCCACCTCTGAAATAAAGATTTTGGTTTCACTTTATTATATTTTTGATTATTTATTGGCTACAAATACTCTGATTGTTCATTTAATGGAAGTCCAGTGAGGAATCTAAATACCCCCTTTAACTGTGGCAATGCTGTGTGGTTAAAGCAAGGTTTAGGTTGGTGTTAGGGAAGTATTCTGTTGATGACTAACAGATATTGAATTGAATACTGGTTGAAACTTGACTAAGCACCTACCATGCACACCCACTTTTTGTTCCAGCACTTGCTATGTTAATAACTTAGTCATATCGACAGGTTCACTTGGTTAAAATACATGTAGAAAGGTTAGACATTAAACATTAGATTAGGTTATCATTTGGGTTATTTTGGCATAACAGATACAGTTAGCACCCTTAGTAAAGATGGGTAAAAAGGGTTAATTAGCTAAAGCTTACACTTGCAATGTGAGGGAAAAAAACTTTAACTGGAGTAAATTTAGTCTAAGAAAACAAACACCCTGAAAAAAATCTGTCATTTAAGATTTAATATAAAAAAATAATGCCATGTATCCTAACAAGGTTCGCAGATCCTTTTGCGGAAAACCAGTCCCAAAACATCACAAACCCTATTTTGTTTCAGGTTCTGTTTTCTGTCTCATTTCACCATAGAAACCAGATCCAGTCAAAGTTTCAGTATGTGTCATGTAGCTATTTTTTAATAGACAATGCTTGATTTTTGAAGGTCAGCACACTTTTGTCTCATTTCATTTGTGTATTCTCTGATCTTTTCCCTGTTGATGAGAGAATAAGGGAATTTGCCCTCTGTCATGCCTTATATTTATAGCTGTATGCAAACAAACACCCCAGTCTTATGACATGTTTTGCTGATTTTTGAAGTGAAAAGAAGTTAACACATCCACTACAGGAACACACTTAAATATGGCATTTTTGAAATTTTATTTTCTGAGTTTAATATACTGGAATATTAGTTGAGTCAACTAATATCCCAGTATATAGAAATATACACTCACTGAGCTCTTTATTAGCTACACCTACCTTATATCTACACACCTTGTCCATTTTATAGCTCCGCTTACCAAATAAGGGCACTTTGTAGCTCTACAATTACAGACTGTAGTCCATAGTTTCTTTGCATAATTTGTTATTTAAACACTTCTTAAACACTGTGTCCACTCACTGTCCACTCTGTCAGACACACCTACCTTGTTGGTCCACCTTGTAGATGTAAAGTCAGAGACAGTTCACAGGTAGCTCATCTGTTGCTGCACAGTTTGTGTTAGTCATCCTCTAGTCCTGCATCAGTGGTCACAGGATGCTTATATATAGGTTAAGGGTATTTGTTTTCTTAGACTTTCTCAGTCGTATAGATAAAAGAAAGAACATGAAACAAGATAAAATATTTACAAAACTTGCTTATAGATTAATTATGTTTTCTGTTTTTCATCCAGCTGCTGCTCTGCTGTGTTTAAAGAAGAAAAAAAAACAGTAAGTCTTTTAAGAGCATTTGGACAAATGTTCAGAACAACATAGTGAACTAATAAGGTTTATAATTTATTTTTAAAGTCAGTTAGTATTCATGTCATTCTCCTTACTGCTTTCAGCATGCTGTAGGTGTAACAAGTTTTTTTTGCTCTAATAACCACCACAAAGCTGATCTGAATTGCTGTTATTGGTTGCATTGTATGCATACCACACTGTGATGCCTGCAGGACAGAAACTGCTTCTCTTAGATAAAGTGAACATATAGTAGGCACATGTTTTTTAAACTGACGAAGTCCTGGGTAAGTATTGCAGTTAAACTGATATCAGGGAAGTGGGCTGAGATTAAATGTACCTGGATATTTAGCTACACCCAAAATGACCAATGCTGGACCTTTGGATTGCAGCTGTAGACGTGTTTACTCTGGAAAAGTGGCCACTATAATTGAAGAGGGCGAGTTATAGCACACTCACTGTCCTGGTAAGGAAAACAGTACGTGTATCTGCTTAATCATTGTTTTGGTAGCACTAACTTCTTTGCTGGCCTAGATACTGATCCTACTTATTTTCTTATTGTTTCTACTGGATAATTTTGCTGCTAGTTACTCTACGAAACCTGATAAAACCACATGACAGATGGTCAGGACCATGATAGGCCCAAAAGCAGAAATAGTATGTTGTCGCTGTCAGAACAAAACCTTGTATCTCCAAAAAAGTAACTTTACAGGAAAAGAAAGAAAACTTTCTTAACTTTCGATTTTATTTCTATTGGTCCATTCATCATGAAATTTTAACACAATGTAAACAGTGGTTGTCATTTTCAAATGGTAAAAACAAAATGATAAAAAAAGTAAACAACAAAATAGACAAGCAAAGTTCAACACAATGTAAAGGGCAGCTGCTGTGTTCAAATAATGTTGAAAGAAATTAAGAATATTTGCTTTTTTTGGATAGAGACCATATATATCTAGGGTTACAATTACTAGAATTACTAGCAAGATTTTACCCAAATACAGAAAATGCTTCATTAATGGTAGTAGCGAACCATCAGTATTACTGCTAGGCCTTCAGTTTGGGTCCAGGGTTGGGATGTAATAAAATACAAGTATTAGGAAAACGTATTCAAAATACAGGAATTAATTATCTATATTCAGTCCAAGTTACATTTTGTAAAGTCAGTAGTCGAAATACAGTTACCTTTTACATTTTTATAAGAATACTTTGAGAATACTTAATAAAAACACAATGTTCAAAAGAAGCATCATCAATGCTTGTTTGTTAACTATTTTAAAATCAGCACATGGCATGCAGAAAACATGCTCATTCGATGAACTGTAAAGAGAACTTCTTTAACGGCTTCTTCACAAACACTAAAGTTCCTGCTAAAGCCTGAGTAGACTGATAAATCAATGTAATGATCAGTTAATCTTAGAGTTAATAAACAAATCAATGATCAAACTAATAATCTCAGTAGTGGACATTTGTGAGTGATAAGTTTAGCATCGGTGTGGTACTGGATTTCTGCTGAGGGCTGTTGGAGCAGCAGTGGTCAGAAGCAGGCGGTGACAGAGAAAAGAAAAGAACTGATTTTCAGCGCATATTTTCCATGAAACATTAAAAGAAGGATTACTTGAAAAAAAATGCCTACCAGTAGCAGTGTGAATTAAATAAACATTACAGCAGAGTTTTCCTATGTGTCTTATCAATATGTATTCTAAATATATTCTAAATGTTTTCATTACTTTCTTATATATTGTAATGGAATACATTACTGAAAACATTTTCGACAGTGTATTCACTATGAATACATCACTGTTTTTTCAAAGTATTTTGCCAAACACTGTTTGGGTCAAAGGACAAGACTTGGTCAAAAATGAGGAAAAAGAAGGACTACAATAATGCTTCTGTTAGCGCACCTGTGGGGATTTGGTAGTACTTCTGGTAATATGTTAGCTCTAAGCTAATTTTGCCAGTTCTAGATTAAAGTCAGTAAGTGCGTTACATGCACTGATCATAATCGGATTTCTCAGTACATGTATCCTCTTATTTGGATTTCTTTTAGAATTCTCAGTCTGCACATTTGCAAAAGAAATAAGCAAGCAGCACTGCTGTGAGATGGCAGCCAAACACTGTTGGAGTGACAACGAAATGAGGGATTTAAGTATTCTTCATCTTCTAGATGATGTATGTTCGTGGCGCGATGTATTTTTAAAAAGCTGCGGCATGAAGTTTAAGTTTATGTTACTTTTACGTCATGTTCTTCTGTGAGTTTATTGGCTGGTTGCAAAGCAGACATTCGATTACTGCCTGACTCATGTAGACCTGGAGGTTCCTCATTATCAGCTTACTCAAGTGCATATAAATGCGTTGATTGGATTACTGACAAAATCTGATTTTCTGCAGTTATCGGATTAATAAGTGATGTATCTAGAACTTCCAGAAGGCCTTGAGTGATCTTTTTTTTCTCCAGAAATTGATCCGCCCCATTGTAAATCCACTTGCTGTTCCTAATTATGTTAGTGGTTAATCCGATGCATTAGGCTGTTTGTACAGCTTGTGTAGGCCTAACCAATGAGAGAGCTTGCTTGGCTGTATCTAACAGTATCTCGTTTGGCTGTATCTAACAGTATCTCATTTGGCTGTATCTAACAGTATCTCGTTTGGCTGTATCTAACTGTATTTCATTTGGCTGTATCTAATTATCTCGTTTGGCTGTATCTAACTGTATTTCATTTGGCTGTATCTAATTATCTCATTTGGCTGTATCTAACTGTATCTCGTTTGGCTGTATCTAACTGTATCTCGCTTGGCTGTATCTAACTGTATCTAACAGGGAACATAATGCCTATTTTAAAGCCTGACACTTATCCATCGGGTGTTTCAGATTTAACCCTTTTGTTTCCAACCCGAACTTAATTGTGAAATAAGAGTAACAGACGTATGGTCATATTAAAAAGGAAATCCATTGATTTTTCTCAATTTCGACATATTTTAGTCGTTGACAAAGAAACAAAATCATTCAGAGTGGTTTGATGTGAAATGCTGTGTTCTTACTGACTTGGATGTGGTGGTGGTAGAAACTAAGAGCTGCAATGTCTACAGCGCATTTTATGTACTATCCAAAATGATCTGTAAACTTACTGTTCTTATATATAATGCTGAAGATGGTAAAATAGAAATAGAAAAAATATGTTTTTAGGGACTAATTTGCCTGACAACACCCTGCATATACCTTTCCACAATGAAAGTATTTACAAAAATATGTCCTAGGCCAAAGGCTTATCTCAACAATCGTAAAACAATGTCTTCATCAGCCTATTTGGAATCAGTTTGTGTAATAACCTCCTCTAATGTATATTCAGATGTCTGGTTCCTATCACCACCACTGTGACCAGTTATGACTCTGTTAGTTTCTCTAGAATGGAGCCTTTCATATCCGACCACTCTGAATGCCTTTTTTACGTCTCAGTGATTTAATTATGCTGAACTGTTGAAAAATTGATTGAACTAAAGCTAAAAAACAAACATTAGGCCTACAAGACACTTGAAAGCTTCCCACTCTGACTAATGGTTAGGCTAGATATGGAAATTCAGTACTTCAGACTGAATTGCTCCAATAGTACACAGTAGCGAAAATGTTATTTCCATTTCAATACCTAAGGGAGTCAGTGTTCTCAGCAGCTGTGAGCCTATCAGCGTGCTTGTTCCAGAATATACACTAGTGATTGGCCGTCTAAATTACATAGTGCATGCATGTTACGGTCCATAAATATACCCACTACTATCACCTGCCAATATCACACATTTCTGATTTGAGCTACACTCACATTCTCTGTTGTTCGGGAATTGGTGTAGAAGTGTTGCTATTGGTATTGATGTTATTATTTTATTATGATAGCCAGCCCTGCTTAATCACTTACTAGGATAACTACTCTAGCTGATGTTAGCTCTCACCAAAAACAATGAAAATATATTCCTGTGACTACTGTCAATATTGCATTAAAACTTATGCCAGTATTTAAAAATTATAACATTTCAAATTTATTTCATGTCTGAACAGCTAAATAAACACATTCCACCCCTTTGTATTTTAGAGGAGCTCATTGATAGGTGATGCTGATGGAAAGAGTAGAAAAATCAGAGCCAGGAAAACGTGTAGTTAAGCATGATAGCATTTCAGCTTTTATTCTAACACCAGTCACTCGATTTTGCGCTTTCAGATATCTTATAAGTGAGTGTCATCTTATCATAGTTAGCTGGAACCAAGTCGGTGCTGTGATGTTTGGCATATTTGGCCTGCTAACTAAGCTCTTGTTAGCTTAGCCAAAACATACAGTTACAAACACCACAGAACAGGTTCGATTTCAGCTTTCTGTCACTCCAGCTCCACTTACTTGACTTTTGCTTTCTCAGATGTTAGTGTTTATCATCACTTGTTTCAGGTGAGCGTCATTTGGTCAGAATCTTACCTGTACAGTGATGTTTGGTACAAACACCACAGAACAGTTTAATTTTGCCTCTCTGTCCCTCCAACAGCAGCAGCTTGACTTCACTCCCACAGCTATGAATCATTATCATTTGTGTTGATGCTTTGGTTGTCCAGGATCAAACATGTTCTGTGGTGAGCAAAGCTAAGCTAATGCTAACCAGCTCCTCTCTACTAGTTTACCATTAAGCAGTTGTTAAGATAGACGATTTGACATTTATTGAACAAAGCCTTGAAAATTGTACAGTGCTCACCTATTTGGTGACCATATAATTGAACTACTCTTTTTGATTTTTTTTGCTATTGAAAAAAGGCAGAACGAGATGGAACAAAAGCAACATAAATACTTTTATGTTGATTACAACCCTCAACACCCCCCCACCGCAAAGGCAATAATATTCACTTACTTGGGTGTTCTCTGTAATCTTTCCAGATCCAACAGCTATTCCCTGGCCATACAGTATTCCAAGGAGGAATCTTCACTCAAATAACATGGCATACACCAAACACAAGCTTGACTGGGTGTCCTCTCCAGTTTATTCAAATGCTGGGCGAGTTTCTTTCGGAAAAGTATTTACGCAGTGAAAAAAGTGATGGCTTGAATTTCCTTGATTCAAATGTGTATGTCATTTCTACATAGAAAAATTCCAGATATACTTGATTTTTTCTTACATTTTTTAGAGAGTAATTGTGTTTTGTGTGGAAATGATGTAGAAATGTAAATCAGGTAAATTCAATGCATTTATTTTTTTTTACTGTGGCTGATTTTGAATGCCCATGCTGACCATGAATGTAATCTGATTGAGATAAAAACTGGCATTTTTGAGTGAATATATCACTGTCCATTAGATAAGATGTGTGTGCTTTTTAATGCAGTGTCTGCTTTTTTTTCTGATTGTGTTCATTTTCTCACAGCTGTGCTCAAACCACAGCTAGTGGCTTTTGTCTTTGTCCTAACTTTTGCTGTAAGGTACTTTATCATTATTCAGTGGTGGATAGCAACGAAGTACATGTTCTTCGTTACTGTACTTGCGTAATTTTTTTATGTGTGGGTACTTATTAAAGTATTTCCAATTTTTGAGAGTTTTACTTTCTCTCAACTACATTTGACAGTAAAATATCTTAATTTCTACTCCACCACTTTCCATAGAAACTAGATTTTCAATATTATCTAGAAGAATATGATGCAATTCCACAAATGAAATAGTCATAGTGCATTTTTCTTGTCCAGCTTAGCAACTGTAACTAGGCCTGGGCACCTCTGACAAGCTTTCAGCAAGTTAGAAACTCGATTTATCTGGATTTTAGGCAGCAGGTGAAATGTTTCCTGTTTCCTAAATTGAGGTATATTGGGAATATCTTGCAGTACTTTTACTTTGGATTCTCAGATACATTTAAAAGCAAGTATCTTTGGACTTTTACTTGTGTAATATTTATAGGCACTTTTCCTTTTATTCAAGTACTACATTTGTATATTTTGTCTACCACTGTCTAATTATTATTAGGGATGCATTGATACCATTAATGATTTCGGGTATTGGACCTATACTATGCTCATTTACTCATACTGAAAAATGCATGATTTCAGCATTTGTCTACTGCCTGATACCATGTAATGTAAGTCTATTGTTCGCTAGTATGTTAATGAACAAACAGCGCTTGCTGGCAGTAAAGGACAGAGCTGTCTGCAGGGGCTGTTTAATGAGGCATGTCAGTTGGATCAAGCGTTTTTGTACAATGTGAATATATAAATCGTAGGCCTTGTCCATACACAATGGTCTATTCAAACATACTGTGTGAGGAACAAGATTTCTAAAATCTGATTCTGTCACTATGCCACAGAGACTGTTGTTAAAAGAGACAGATGAGGAACTATGAAACATACTCTACCCATAGCCGTATAGAAGTGTTTTTCTGATGTTGAACTAAACCCTGCTCTTTCCACTGCAACACTATTTGATCAAAGGTAACTTGGCTATCTAATGCATGTCATTTAAAATCATCTAGATTTAACGTCTTAACTGTTAATGTACATTGCCCTTATTACACTAGCAACTACTTAATTCTAAGTAGATTGCTCATTATGGTTTCGGTATCGGCAAGCACTAAAAGACATACTCGTACCCGTACTCGGTCTGAAAAAATGGTATCAATGTATCCCTACATTTTTTTTTTTTCTTAAGAGGGCATCAAACAGTAAAAGAATTTGGCCCATCTGTTTTGACTGAAAAGTGGGAATGTTATAATGACACTGAGAATGGGGACCAATATGTTGGATGTTACTAATGTAATTCTGCTGCAGAAGCTGTAGCTTTGCACTGAGATAGGTGTAGTCCTGCGAAAGGCTGTTGAGACTGTTAAGCCTAAATTGTTTGGAGATGCAAATAAATTTTATATGTGCTGGACCAAGATTACACCAAAGGTCAATTTAAAAGGCAGTACTGAACAATCGAACTATTTATTACATGCCAAAGCTTCCAGACTTGCTAAGCACTTTTTATTTTTAGTTGTGTGGTTCTACTGAATAATATTTAGCTGCATGTAAATTTTTCTTGTAATGTATTATTGATCCTTAACATGGAAAGATATTATTTTTATGCTTATAATTTCAGCCGTTTTAAAACTTACACCCACATACTTTGTAAGTATGTGTGTATGAAAGTATAGTACTGTGCAAAAGTCAGAGAACACCCTTTATTTTATTTAATTTCCACTCAGAATAGCCATTTTCCAGAAGATATTTCTGAGGAGATGAGATAAAATTGCGTAAAGAAGGGAAAGTCCAAGAAAAAAAGAAAAAATCAGGAGTTTCCAAATATTGCGTGGTAAAATGCCTGCATGCTCACACAACACACAATCATTTGGGATTAGTATTGGTTTCAAAGATCAATATCTGTATCAAGTGTAAAATTGCAATTATATAGGGCCTAAATCACGAAACTAAAGAGTTCAGGTGACAGAGAAAAGTGCATAGCTGTCAAAAAGCCATTGCTGAGAAAAGGCAATGAAATAAGGAAGAAAATTTGCAAATTAAAGAAAGAAGCTGCTGGTGTTCTCAGAACAATAGACTGACCACCCCAGAGTCTAGACCTTAACATCACTGAATGTGTTTGGAAGTACTTTGATGATGAGAAGCAAAAATGCAACCAACCTCTAAGACTGAACTTTGGAGGTGTGGAAAAATTTCCCTGCAGATTTTTTAAGAAACTGAAAGCAGGTCTCCTGAAAAGAATGGAAGCTGTAAAAAAAGCAAAGAGTGAGACACTAAATACTTACAAAAAAATTTAGTTGTTGAGAGTTCTGTGTAATTTTGCATTCAATTTTTTTCTGCTTTTTTCACTAGAAACCAAATAAATGAAGGGTGTTTTTATAACTATATTGAGTTAGTTTAGTCAAACACACACCTATTTAAACCACTTATCCTCCTGGGTAGTTCAGTCAAACAGAATGCTCAAAAAATTGCTTATGCTTCCTAAAAAAATAGCTGGCTTAATTGATTGGTTTTATTTTTTTTTATTATTTTATTATTTTATTTTAGCTTTTTCCTGTTTAAATGTTGTGCTTGAAAGCTGAAACTTTTATAGTTTTTCTGTTCATTCTGAGTTTAAAACCCGCTGCTGAGTGAATAACGGTTATTAATGAATGTGTTTGGAACAGATTAAAGCAGATTAAAGATGCCATTGCTAACACGACATATGCCTTATGTGTAGATTTTTTTATAACATATGACAAACATGCCAGGAAGAATGTGCTCCTTTCAGAACATGTATTCTAAATAGACAGCTTGCTTAGGAGATGATCATACTATGATTTTAAATATCAGTGGGGGGTTTATCATGTCGACACAAACGTTACGTTAAGTAAGGCAGACAAGCAGGCAATGAAATGACTGTATACATGATTGTAGATATTTGATGTCTTTTTATTTCAGATTCTTAAATGGGCTTCCCTTTACAACACTGAAGTAATGCATGCACTCATTTAAAAGTTAGAGCCCCCTTGACTTAAAGGTTTACTGTTAGTTCCTTTATCAGAAATATCATAATGTTTTTTTTTCCTTTTACTGTCTGTCAGTCTACTGCAAAAACTGGTGGAACTGCAACGCACTACAAGTGCAACTGGACTGTTGTCTGGGCTTTGGTTATAACTTCTGGTTTCTTTCTATTGAGTTTTTGTTTTGTGGATTTGCTCAAAGGTTTAATGGCACCTTGGTGCAGGATATAGTTGCCTGTAGGGCTGTAGTTAAGACCACCTAGTCAAGAGTCCAAATGAGAGCAAGACCAAGTCTTAACTAGCCTTTAAAGTACCCCTAAAGTCATAATTTGAAACACAAAAGTTTAATGTATGTTGAATAATACATTGTTAAATATTTTTAAGTACTATTGTTATGCCCAAGAAACTACTACAAATGGCACAGGATCATCCCTAAGCCTCAACATTTAACACAACTTATGTACCAAGGAAAAAGTGGGAAGAAGATCTCTTGGTTACACCCTCTACCAACCTCAACAAACCTGGACAAACATTCTGGAAAACACATTTAGCATGACTAACAATACTAACCTTCATCTCATACAATATAAGGTAATTCACAGAGTACACTACACTGGGCAAAGGCTCTATAAGATGGGAATAGTAGACTCTGAAATCTGTAGACACTGTTCACTAAACACTCCAGACAATTACATACATGCCTTGTGGTATTGCATACCAGTCAAATACTTCTGGCAACTTGTTATAAATCAACTAACTCCATTGTTAAAACAACCCATCTCCCCATCCCCATCACTCTGTCTGTTAGGTGACACATCATCAGTCCATCTAAACAAGGAAGAAAACAACACTTTTTGTGGCGTTAGCCATCACTAAAAAGACTATTCTGACAAAATGGAAAACAAGGAAAAAGATTACCATCAATCAATGGAAACATTTCTAGAACACATAGCTATGGAAAAACATCTCAGCATCTGTCAAAAACAAATCTCATTAATACGAATAAACATAGTCAACACTTAACAACATTCTACAACCACCTTAACTTCCATCAGCTTTTATACCTACCTGTGGTGCCTCTACCCGAATGTTCCTGTTCACATATTAACACACACACTCACACACACACAAATAAATATATATGGCAGGTATTATAAATAGCTATAGCTTAGTTCATTCTCTGAGGGTACATATATTATCATTTCTGTTTTCTTTTTTCTTCTTTTTTTTTTTTACATGTTCTATATGTTTGTTTTCTTCTGCCAATTTCTAACATTTTTTTTCTCCTTTATCCCCCCTTGTAATTTTTGTTTGCTTGTATGTTTGCAGTTTGTTGTCTTCCCTCTACACGATGACAGCATATACTAGAAGAAATTTGTAATACAGTAATAAAGAAAAATTGTTCCTCTGAAGAGGGGGGGTGGTGGCGGGCAGAAAAAAAAAAGCAACCACTCAGGATTATGTAGCAACAGCCTAGAAACACCTTAGCCTGGGATTCCATAGCATTTTATTGCGGCCAGCCTGGAAGCCTTGTAGCTGCACTGTAGAGTCAGTCAGGAGGCCCGCCCAGGAAGCCTCGTATATGTGATGTAGAGTCACACTGACAGCTGTCAAGAAGCAATAACGGGAAAGGAAATAGATAAAAGAAAGCATGTTCACAGAACAATGGACTGGCCACCCCAGAGCCCAGACCTTAACATCACTGAATGTGTTTTGGATAATTTCAATCGTGAGAATCAGAAAATTCACCCAACTTCTAAGACTGAACTTTTGATATCACTGCAGATTTCTTTGAAAAACTAAAAGCAAGTCTCTTGAAAAGAATGGAAGCTGGCTAAGGAAACCCTAGTTGTTAAGGCTTCTGTGTAACTGTTCTGTTTAATATTCATGTAAGAAGCAGCACTCTGCCAATAACCACTGTCCACCGGTAACTCTTATTAGCACTGAAGGGAGGGCAGTGGAAAGAGAGAGCAACTGTGGGTTCTGTGGTGTATCACATCACGTCATTAAAAAGCACCTACACCCTGTGGAAGATGGCAAATTCTAAAACTGACCTTTGGAGGTGTGGAAAAATGTCCCTGTAGGTTTCGTTGAAAAACTGGAAGCCAGTCTCCTGAAAAGAAAGGAAGCCGCAATAAAGGCAAAGAATGGAAACATTCTTTTTTTTTCTAAGTTGTATTGACTCCACACACCCTATCTGTGCTTTTTATTTCATTGTTCTATTTTAATCTTCAGGCCATGAAAAGGTACAAATATGTAGCTTTACTCTGGGAGAAGCATATTTAAGGTACAAAGTTGGAGCTTGAAATCATTGTTGTACTTTTGAGGGAACATTTACATTGTTGGCACCTTGATGATGCTGCACAGCACCTTTATTTCTGACATCGCACAGACTAAAATAAATACACAATACTTCTTCACTTCTCTTATGAGCTCTATATGTCAGCCATAAACACCTAAACTGTCATCTACTTATTTTGTACTCCTAACATGTGAAAGTATATCAGGATCAATATTACAATGAAAATGTTCTAAGCAAATTGTAGTGTATTTGTATGTTTGCATTTAAATTTCTCACTCATATATGCAATGTTGAATAATAATTCGACAGTAATAATTTACAAGAAAAGGTCTGATTCAGTTCAGTATTTCTCAGCAGAATCAGGCCACTAAGTCATATCATACCTTCCAGCACCTACAGAACCCTGTCCACAAATACTATCCAGCAGAACCAGTGGTTTCCCCATAGTGGTTTGGATAACAGCTTATACCCTACTTCTTTTGAATGATACCATAGAGGAACCTCATTTGGTTCTCTAAAGAACCTTTCAATTGATATTTAGGGGTCCAAGCACCTTTAGGTGCATGGAACCCTATTGCTTTTGCTCGGATTTTTCTTATTATTATTATTATTATTCTTTTTCTGCCCTAAAATGGTTTGTGGAGAAGACACCGTAAGTCATCCAAAGACCAAACTTAGAGGGTAGGTGTAGATTCCCCCCCCACTACTCAGGCAACTGAAATGAAACCCCAGTTGGCCTGATGGTGGTGCTATAGAGCAACATTTTACGTTTTTGCCCATATCTCCTGAACCATTGGGGCTACCCTCAAAATTCTTGCTTCTACATAATCCTTGCTTTATTCTACACCAACACACCACTGCAAGTTTTTAGCTCCGCCCCCAAATTTATCATCATAATTGGCAAAATATGTGACATCTACATTTTTCTACTAGTCTGAGGTTTTTCAAGATATCAACACCAATGAATCTGTTCGGCCTGGCCTTTTCTGACTTAGGGGGCTATAGATTCTTTAGTTTTTAGGTGATTGTGATACATCTTGGTAAACTTGTACACTACTGTTTTCTGATGAAACATGCAAAGTTTCATTTAACTTGATTATCATAAGCCCCTACAACACTTAATCTAGTGCGTAATTATTAAAATGTCATTATATTCTTCTATGAATGAAATAAAGAAAAGATAATGGTTTTAAATTACACATCTTATTAACGTCTAAAACATTGCAATTATATGTCTGTTCCAAAATTGCACAGGAAATGTGGAAATTTGAGTTAAAGCCAGGATGGCCACATAATTAATAAGGGTAATATCTTTTCTGCCCAGCAGAAGGAGCATCAGCATTAAATGCAAATTATGACTTCAAACATACTTATGGTCATAGTCTTTGCAACATCTATCTTGCGGCAAAGGAACTTTCAGAATTTTATGTATTCCACTGAGCCAAGCAATTTTGCTTATACAAGTCTTTTAAAAAACTCTATTGTTTTTCTGTAAATCATCGGAGTTTGAAAACTGATGTTTTCATACTGCTTGCTGAAATGTTTTTGCAACACCTCAAACTTGGTCTATATAACCGTCAAAGTCTCAAGATCAATGATTATTTAAAAAACCTTGGCTTTTAAGCACAATGTTATTGCAAGTTATGGATCAATCAGTGCGGTCCAGCCTATTCGGAAACAAGGGACCACAAATCTGTCACTTATGCTCTGATTGTGACCAAAAATGATATATATATTGCAAATAATCAGTTGAGGAAACCTATGAGATTTGGCTTGAATTGGCTTAAGTTGGCTCCTACAATGCTCAATGTACTGCCAACAATCTAAAATGTAATTATTCCTGTCTAAGATTAAAATAAAAACATGACTATTGTTTCAAATTATGCATCTTAATGACACATTAACACTTTACAAATATGTGTAGGTTGCTTAACTGTACAGGAAATCATATAATTTGATTTCAGCAAATTTTAATTAGAGCAAGAGGTGTTTTATATTTCTCTGGCCACCAGAGGGAGCCAAATCAGTAACTGCAAATGTCAATGTTCAACTAATTAATAAAAAATATACTATTAGTGGAAAGCTTTACTCTATGTCTTTAGGTCAAGACAATTTCTGTACTTTTTGCTTTCCACGGTGCATGATCTATTTTTTAATATCCTTGTTCTGCGAAATGGGCAGCACGGTGGCGCAGTGGGTAGCACTATCGCCTCACAGCAAGAATGGCCTGGGTTCGATTCCCGGCCGGGCGACCAGGGTCATTTCTGTGTGGAGTTTGCCTGTTCTCCCCGTGTCTGCGTGGGTTTCCTCCGGGTACTCCAGTTTCCTCCCACAGTCCAAAAACATGCAGTCAGGCTGTTTGGACATGCTGAATTGCCCCTAGGTGTGTGTGACTCT